AACCCCCAATCCAACGGCCAGGCTAAATCATCGAATAAAACCATCATGTAGACTTTAAAGAAGCGCCTACAGAAAGCCAAGGGCGATTGGGCAGATGAACTACCGGGGTCCTCTAGTCCTACCGGACCACAGCCCGCTCGTCCATGGACGAAACTCCTTTCTCCCTCACATATAGATTTGAAGTAATCATCCTAACCGAAATATCGGTCCCTTCCACCAAACTCTAATGGGCGAACGAGGAAACCAACAACCAAAACCTTTGTCACAACTTAGATACCGTCGACAAATTACGTAAGCAAGCGAACATCCGCAACGCAGTCTATCAGCAACAAGTCGCTCGACACTACAATCGCAACGTCCAAATCAGAACTTTTAAACTAGGCGACTGGGTCCTTCGTAAAGTCTTTCAAAACACTAGGGAGATCAACTCTGACAAGCTCAGCTCCACTTGGGAGGGTCCTTACAAGATCGCCAAAGAAGTAGGGAAGGGCGCCTATCGACTCCAAACCCCCGAAGGCAAAGACATCAGCAACAGTTAGAATGCAATCTATCTCAAACATTACTACTTTTAGTCTAACTCTTTCATCGACATTTCTGCTTTCTTGTTTCTGTTTTTAAAAGGATGAGTGGGCCTATCCACCTCCTTCACCGTCAGTTGGCCTCATGGCCCAAATTCAATAAAAGTACTATTCATTGATAGAACAGTTTATAGCGTCAATCGGCCCAGACTGATTCATTGATTACACCTTCAATTGACCCAGACCAATTTATGAATTTACACCTTTAATCAGCCCAGACCGATTTATAGATTTACACCTTCAATCGGCCTAGACTGATTTATAGACTTTATACCTTCAATCGACAATTCATCGACCCACCCTGCCAGACGGTCCATACCAACCTAGCAACTCAATGGACTACACATTCGGTAGACCATATCGACACACCGCCACGACACTGGCGACTCAGCCACTTAGCCTCGTGAAAATCGCAGCACAAGTGGTTGGCTCAACCTCTATACATCTACAAGCAATCAAGCAACCAACTCATCCATCCACAAGGAAAGCAGCAAAACAGAAACACAAAAAGCACTGACGGCTAAGTATAAGATAAAAGAGCCTCAAACGGCTAAATATCAAGTACAAAAAAGGCACACATGCCATGGAAGGGCATCGCAGGCCCCAAAAATACATGAGAGTAAAAATAAGCAGTGTAATGAAAATGGTGTAAAGGGTGGTGTAAAGGTAGCATTATTCTAATTACAATTAAGGAGTTGATCGAGACCAACTGAGAACCAATAACAGTAGGGGTGGAAAAAAAAACCTGGAAACCGAACCAGACCAAAAAACTGGACCGAAAATTCGATTTTTTTCAGTTTCAGTTCGAATATTAAAAAAACCGAATATCTGGTTCGGTTTTGGTTTTTGGCAAAATTAATTATGGTTACCCGGAACCGGTTTTTTGAACCGAATTTTTAAAAAAATTATGCATTTTAGGTTTTTTATTTTGCAATCCCTAACACCAACAATCTAACATCCTAACTGGCTACTGGCTACTGACTACTCAGACCTCACTCACGGTACTCACAACTCACTACTCAGACCTCACTCACCTCAGTAACTCTCACACTCTCAGAGTCTCAAAGTCTCAGTGACTCAGTCTCAGTCTCAGTCTCTCACTCTCTCTTGGACTCTCACTGTCTCTCAGTTTTCAGTTCTCTGTTCTCACATCGGAGTCACGTGGTCATGCCTTAGCCAATAGCCACACAAATTTCTCACGTTGCTCACGCCATCGATCTTTGCTCACGCTGTCGATCTTTGCTCACTGATCTTTTGCTCAACAGTCGGCAGTCACTATTCAAGGTCACCATTCTTCTTCCTTCACCAAGTAGCTGGCTCACTACCGTCGACGTTTGGGTTTCCCAGGTCCCTCACGTGTGCCTACTGCGTGGCCTTAGCTGCAGTCGCCGTCGTCGCTCTAGTCTCCACGTCGTCGTCCGTTTCCAGTGCGTGACCTCATCTCTTTGCAATGAATAGGAGAGCCCATGGCTCAGATATTTGATGTCCTGTAACAATTGTTTTTAATTATTCTTCTTGTTATGTGTATTTGTTAGTTAGAATGAATGATCTATGTGAGCCAATTCTCAATACCAGAAGTTGTATTATTGATTTAAAGGTTTGAGTTCATTACTTTTTTTGGGAAAAAAATTATTGGAATATAATTATTTATTATTATTATTACAGATATATTTTTTAAGTCAGAATCGTTTTGATATAATTATATATAATATTAACTAGTTTGGGTAATGAATCTCATATCCAATCTCATGTAATTGGGTTGACATCCAGGCATTTTAATTGAGTTGGGTATGCAGTAACTCAAAACAGATTGAAACCGGCAGAAATCTAACTCTTTCACAGATATTATTATATTATGGTGTTTAAAGAGATAACTGATGCAATTACTTGAACTATGTACATCTAAGAATTTAGCTTTATAGAAACAAGTATAAGTGTTGTATAGATAACTGCAAGGGATGCTCTATAATTTTCTCTTCTGCGTTTTTTATGTACATTAAAATGATATGAATTAAAATTATTCAATTACAATAAATATGACTTTAATTCAAGTGAAAAAAAAACCTGGAAAAAAAAAAGGCCAAAGTGAAGGGTGTGACCGAATTGGGCCGAAAAATGCAGCCCATCAAAAATCATAATTAACCGGTTAACCGAATTTTTCGATTAATAATCGGTTTATAATAGAAATCGGACCAGTTTCGATTCAATTTTTTTTTTAAACCGAAAACCAATTTGGTTCAATATACCCGTTAACTGGTTTTTTTCACCCCTAAATAAGATAGAAAATGATAGAGTTACCGAAAAGTTTACACCGAATTTATGCACCGAATGACGTGACAAAATCCTGATCGTTTATTAATATTAACTGATAATAAATCAACGATCATGATTTTGTTACATCATTCAGTGTATAAATTCGGTGCACACCCAACAATAACCGTAGCATTACTCAAATAAGATTAGCTCATTCATTGAGGTGAGCGCGTACAAAATTACTACAAATAAAAACACAACGGTGCAATACAATTGGCTGGGGACAGAACACGACCTGCGGGTGAGACACACACAATCACTTTCTCCGAACCGCAAATATAAAGCGCAATAACCCTTTCATTCAATCATTTGCCTCTTGATTTACAGTTGTTTGCGAATTAGGGTTTCCGATCGTTCAATAGGGCAGCCATGGGAGGAGGCAACGGCCAAAAAGCCAAGATGGCACGTGAGAAGAACTTGGAGAAGCAAAAAGCCTCCGGCAAAGGTCAATTTTTTTTCTCTCTTACGCGCAATTTTTTGTTTTAAATTTTTTTAATATAATACAGGCTCTGTTCAAGGTAGTTTCTGTCCTGTTGAATTTTCCCAGGAAGTCAATTGGATTCGAACAAGAAAGCGATGACGATCCAGGTAATTTCTTTTTGCTGTTGTCTTTAAATTTCTTAATTGATTTGCTTTAATATATGAACTTCAGTTGTTTTTCTTGACTTTTTAATCATTTAGTTATTTATTGTCATCTTTTTGGTTGTTTTGTTGGTCCTATTTGATGGAGGTTTATAATGTATGTTGGTCTTGTTGATTGGAAGATTATGTTAGACTCAATTTAGATGATAGTGAGTATTGTTGTTTAACGTGGAATGAACACAATTTCTTTGAACAGTGGAATTATGGTTGATTGGCAATAGCCTAGCCTTCCTCGCTCAACACGTGGGGTTGGGTTTGCCAAGTACTCTTTCTAATTTTTTTTGGCTGCGCATAGCTTTATGGTTTCTGTTACTCTGTTGATACCAGTTTTCAATGTTAGAGATATATATTTGAAGATTTTGATTTTACGTAAGTTATTTGTGGTAGCAATTTCTTTTTTCCACTAGAAGAAATTGGCATTTCGTTAGGGATTGTTTTTCTAGTATAAGAAAAGTTTTCTTTGCTGATAATCTGCTTGAGATTTATTTTGTAGAGAATCACTTTTCTTTCAAGCATATTGTGTAGTTTTGTTAACATGTTATAATTAGCTGTGGTAATATTCCTTTGTGCATTACATATGACTATAAGGTATCAGTGGTGCTAGCTTTCCCCATTCTGTTTTTTAACAGGCTTGATCTATATTTTGTATTTGGGTTCACTCTTTCTAGTATAGTTATACCGTATGATACTGTTTTATTTATGTTGAATATAACCCTAGGACATTCTGTCTTGCTGCTTTCTGATAATTTGATTGTCTTGATTAATTGGAAATGCAGTGCAAGGTGTGCATGCAGACATTCATGTGCACAACTTCAGAGGTGAAGTGCAGAGAACATGCTGAAGCAAAGCACCCTAAAAGTGATGTTAATGTTTGCTTCCCTCATCTTAAGAAGTGATGGAGTTGGAAAATACCATGGGAACATCATCTCCCTTTATGTATAGCATTTCATCCCAGAATATTTTCAGACCAGTACTCACCGCAGTTAGTCGAATGTGTTTGTGTATGTGAGAGAGGGGCCGGTTGATCACCATCTCCTTTTGTGGAACTTGGTGTGTAATGATAATTGCATAATTTGTCTGTTGTTTTCTATGTTTTCCGACCTACCTTAAAGGTAAGGGTGGTGTAAGAATTATAAGAGACTATATTAGTGTGATCGTCCAGCCGAATTTGCAAAATTGGCTCTGAACTTTGTCACCATGGTTTTCATTAATGTTCTAAGTAAGATTAAATTGTGTCAAGTAGTTAAAAGGACAATGGATAGAATTGTGAATGCATTATACATTCCATGGTTTGTAATCACTACGTGCACCGGCCCTCTGGTCTTTGNTACTACAAATAAAAACACAACGGTGCAATACAATTGGCTGGGGACAGTACACGACCTGCGGGTGAGACACACACAATCACTTTCTCCGAACCGCAAATATAAAGCGCAATAACCCTTTCATTCAATCATTTGCCTCTTGATTTACAGTTGTTTGCGAATTAGGGTTTCCGATCGTTCAATAGGGCAGCCATGGGAGGAGGCAACGGCCAAAAAGCCAAGATGGCACGTGAGAAGAACTTGGAGAAGCAAAAAGCCTCCGGCAAAGGTCAATTTTTTTTCTCTCTTACGCGCAATTTTTTGTTTTAAATTTTTTTAATATAATACAGGCTCTGTTCAAGGTAGTTTCTGTCCTGTTGAATTTTCCCAGGAAGTCAATTGGATTCGAACAAGAAAGCGATGACGATCCAGGTAATTTCTTTGTGCTGTTGTCTTTAAATTTCTTAATTGATTTGCTTTAATATATGCACTTCAGTTGTTTTTCTTAACTTTTTAATCATTTAGTTATTTATTGTCATCTTTTTGGTTGTTTTGTTGGTCCTATTTGATGGGGGTTTATAATGTATGTTGTTTTTGTTGACTGGAAGATTATGTTAGACTCAATTTAGATGATAGTGAGTATTGTTATTTAACGTGCAATGAACACAATTTCTTTGAACAGTGGAATCATGGTTGATTGGTAATAGCCTAGCCTTCCTCGCTCAACACGTGGGGTTGGGTTTGCCAAGTACTCTTTTCTAATTTTTTTTGGCTGCGCATAGCTTTATGGTGTCTGTTACTCTGTTAATACCAGTTTTCAATGTTAGAGACATATATTTGAAGATTTTGATTTCACCGTAAGTTATTTGTGGTAGCAATTTCTTTTTTCCACTAGAAGAAATTGGGATTTCATTAGGGATTGTTTTTCTAGTATAAGAAAAGTTTTCTTTGCTGATAATCTGCTTGAGATTTATTTTGTAGAGAATCTCGTTTCATTCAAGCATATTGTGCAGTTTTGTTAACATGTTATAATTAGCTGTGGTAATATCCCTTTGTGCATTACATATGACTATATGGTATCAGTGGTGCTACCTTTCCCCATTCTGTTTTTTAACAGGCTTGATCTATATTGTGTATTTGGGTTCACTCTTTCTAGTATAGTTATACCTTATGATACTGTTTTATTTATGTTGAATATAACCCTAGGACATTCTGTCTTTGCTGCTTTCTGATAATTTGATTGTCTTGATTAATTGGAAATGCAGTGCAAGGTGTGCATGCAGACATTCATGTGCACAACTTCAGAGGTGAAGTGCAGAGAACATGCTGAAGCAAAGCACCCTAAAAGTGATGTTTATGTTTGCTTCCCTCATCTTAAGAAGTGACGGAGTTGGAAAATACCATGGCAACATCATCTCCCTTTATGTATAGCATTTCATCCCAGAATATTTTCAGACCAGTACTCACCGCAGTTAGTCGAATGTGTTTGTGTATGTGAGAGAGGGGCCGGTTGATCACCATCTCCTTTTGTGGAACTTGGTGTGTAATGATAATTGCATAATTTGTCTGTTGTTTTCTATGTTTTCCGACCTACCTTAAAGGTAAGGGTGGTGTAAGAGTTATAAGAGACTATATTAGTGTGATCGTCCAGCTGAATTTGCAAAATTGACTCTGAACCTTGTCACCATGGTTTTCATTAATGTTCTAAGTAAGATTAAATTGTGTCAAGTAGTTAAAAGGACAATGAATAGAATCGTGAATGCATTATACATTCCATGGTTTGTAATCACTACGTGCACCGGCCCTCTGGTCTTTGAAGGAGCAAAGTGAATAATGTCTTTTCGCTACATTTTTTCCAGCATATGTTAAAAGCTTTTGCAACATTTTGAGAGCCCGCCTGTTGAATTTCCGGCATGCAGTGACCTGTTTTTCAAAATACAATTTTTTTGGTTAAAAACTCATGAAACATTACGTTCAGTTTGTTTCTAGAACAGATTTGTTTAAGCTGTCTCTTTCGGGTATGTCTATTTGATATCCTAAATTACTAAAACATTTTCTAAAATTTAATAACTTATTTTAAAATGGCAAAACCAAATGCTCAGACTTTTACAATGATCTGTCGTTTGCTATTATTTTATTTAGCTTTAATTTGTTAATTTAGTTCCCACTCGAGAAGATAGTAAAAATGCAACCAAAAAGAAAGTAGGGAAACACAAAGGGTAAAAATAGTTTTGAGATCTGTCTTACAAACTAACTCGATCAAACATTAAACAGCTATCCACAACCCTTAATCGGACAATAATGATACGAGCAGCCAAGACTGTTTTCTAAAGTGTGTGATTGTAAGCACATTACATTTCTCAAATGCCCAGCAACACCATCAGAAAGGTTACTGCATCCGTGTTCTGCTACTTTCTGCAGCCCTAACTTGTGCAAAATAAGGATGGCCCTGCATTTGAAGCAACAAATTAGTACACCCGTGAATCATAGTACCAAAAGTGCCAACAAAAGTTTGCAGAAAAAAAAATTAACAATAAAATAAAAGATGAAAATACATTATTTCTGTTGTACTTGTTAGGTTGCTGCAGGGAGGGAGAGTGAGAGAGAGGGAGTGGGCAAAGAATGAAAAATATCAAATTCATGTCAATTAGAACACAGATTAAATCTTATACAAAGCAAAGGTTAGTTAAATTCTACAGACACTCTGGACCCTCAGCCTGAGCAGCACTTTGAATTTGGACGGTCAAAATTAAACAAATTGATCTATCATATAGGAAATTCATGCTTTTAACGGCCAACCATGTACTATTTACCAAAGACAAGTAGAAAACAGGAACATGAAATAGCAAATCAGACACAAGCTTTGTGAAAATTGGCATCTAGTGGATGATAATAGAGACAGAAAGTAAATAAGGAACTCGTTTAGTGGCACATAATACCACCAACTTTTCAACCTACAATTAGTCACTAAATGTTTTTTGAAGGGACAGAGTGACAATTGGTCTAGAGGAAATCGACAAAAAAAATGGAAAGAAAAGATAGGCAACATACAAACTCAATATTCATGCAAGAAAACAGAGGCAAGTAACAAATAGCTAATATAAATTACCATTGCTTCTCTGGCAGTTAGTCTATCCTGGTGATCATAACGAAGGAGCTTGTCAAGAAAATCAATAGCCTGCATGTCAAATACCTTTAAGAATGAGTATCAATTATTGGGCTAAACTAAAAATGATTTGGCAGGTTTTTTTCACAAGCAAAAGACAACTGACCTCTGGAGAAACCAGATGCTGATTATCAGCATTAATAAATTTGGACCAAGGCTTGCGACTGTGCCTGCATAATATTAAATCAACACATCAATTAAATTGAGGATATGTAAGTTTCATCTATTGATCTATTTAGATAAGGTAATTAAATCCTATTTGAGACTTCCATCCTTCCACAGGGCACACAAGATGTTCCCACAGAAGATCAATGTTAAGGTAATTACATTTTTGTGGTATAATGAAAGATTAAATCAAAGCAAGGAAGAAACTCATGTTCAGTATACCTCCCAACAAGTGCATCAAGTTGAGGTTCAAGCTCTAAATGATATTTGTTCAGGTATGCATTTAATTCATCAGTTCCCAGTACCTGAAATGCATCAAAAACATCATACAGCAGCCCTATGGTATCAAATTTGCTCATCAAGATTTCATTTCACAAACAAATGATGCCTGGTAATGCCTGCAGTGAAATGTATATAGAATATATGTATGCCTATAGTGCCAATATCATACATGAATTATATTGAAACATGCAGGCAGTGCAGCACCAGTCAATTTTAAGAGGACCAAAATCATCAAATGGATCATGTACTGGTACCAAAAAATATTAGGACACAATATTCAAACCAGTATTTATTGGACTGTTAACACAGCAAACTGTGTATATTAAAGTTTTAGGCCACAATATATCATATCTTTGGCTTCAGCTGGCTTGATTCCCATCCTTAAAAATTAGTAACTTCCCACTTCACCAAGGGAAATTCTTGAGCATTGGGCTCTCAAAATAACAACACTTAACACTCTGCCTGGTTGTGTAAACCATACCATGCAGAATAAAAAGAATATACCTCCACCAATAGGCCGTAATTTTGGACCTAATGTGTCATTATACTAATCCAAAATTTCTGGGAATGTCCTCGAAGACAGCTGAATTTGAAGAAGTAAATCTCACTTACAGCATTAGAACCTGTCAAGATTTACAAGTTTGTTCGTTTTAAAGCAATCATACTATAGCAGACATCCTGCTTAGTGACTACTGCATGCTATATTGATAGAACCTTTCAACAGGGTGATTACAACCTGGTTATTGTAGTTTACATGTCTTATTCTCATAGCTTAAACAGAAATTTATGTTCCAAATATGCATTTACATATGACAGTATAAGCCAATCTGAACTCTACAACAAATTTCTAATAGTTAATTAATGCAAATGCAAAACGATCAGCCATTTAATAGACTATAGCAAGAGAATCATAAAAGAGTGATCTGGGTATTAGCCCAAAAGATTGACTTGCAGTCAAGGAGAATTGAGTTGATAGAAAAATAAATAGTGAAATTGGAGGAGATAAAAATTCTTATGGCATATGCATATGCAATAGGGCAGCATAAGTGTATAAACACCCAAATTCATATAATTAACAAATTTTTTTTAAATATTAATGAAATTTTTTTACTGATATAGTTACATGCCAAAAAGAAACTAGAAGAGGAATTGAAGCCAAATAAAGTACCGAAAATAAATTCCAGCTCACTGAACAATCCTAGAAGATATGTTATGATACACAACAATATAAAAAAATAATGAATATATTTCACCAGCATCTCAACAAATTAACCATCATATTCCATGAATTGCAAAATGAATTCACTGTATGCTAGTGGCATTACCTTAGCAATTTTGACAAGCTGATCATGGTTGTCATGACCATAAAAGAATGGTTCCTTTCGGAATATCTACAAAAAGAATAACCATAATGAGAAAATAAAGCATGATTCATGTTTCTCTTCTAAGAACATTTAATAAATAAAAGAGAACAAAGGAAAAAGACCACTGAAAACCAAATCCATAGAGTAGATAGCACTTCAAGTGAAAATTTTACATTATTACAAGTAGAATCTAGCAAGAGCAACCCTTACCATTCCAGCAAACATGCAACCAAGGCTCCACATATCCAAAGAATAGTCATAGTCCTGCAAATCCACAAGAAGTTCGGGTCCCTTAAAGTATCTGCGCAATGAGAAAAGAAATTTCAGTCCCTTGAAAAAGATGAATCAGCAGTATGAATTATAAACATTTAAAGGGGCCTTCACAATGTGAAAATCATAAATGGAAATTCCACAACTTAGCCCAAAAACCACCCACAAGCACACTTACTGCATACCCAATATTAATCAAAAGAAAAATAGAAGCAATGGTACATGACAGCATTATCCAATACTTCACCCAAGGTTTAAAATTAGAAATTTGAATTTTTGCCACAAATGCTCAAAAGATAACTTGTTAAATGCATGCAAGTGGAATGACAGGTGTTAGGGTGGATGGCCTAGGTGTACAACAAGGCTCTACCAGAAACTTCAGCCAGTGCTGTTCAGAGTTCATTCTTTGAGATTGATATGATTAGAAATTTTAATAAATAGATTACTATTTAGTTTAGCTGCTCAACAGAGAAAATCCTAGTTCATTTTCAGGAAAGTTATGTCTCCAAGAATTGTAAATCCCAAGAGCTTAAATTCTCAAAGAATAGTAGGCTTTAAGATCAATGCTACACAAAACAACTGTGAAATTCAATGTGTCATGCCATTCAACAAATATAAGAATTGAGCACGTATCCATACTCTCCTTCCTTGTCAAATTTATACCCTTCTGGATGTTAACAAACACACCACAGTTTCATTACAGTGAAAGTTTGACATAAATATTAGGTTTATGCCTGTCAGGCCAAGAAAGTCCTTCAATGTAGACTGTAAGAGTTTTAGCGTATATATATATATAAATCAAAACAATTTAACCAAAAAAAAAGAAAAAAACACCTTCAAGCCACCTTTACCCAATAAGCTTTAACATAACTAGATTAATCCTATATCTTACATGATGCAAGATGTATCTTTTAATTCTTAAGATTAAAAATTGGTTATGTAGGCTTAAATTTCAGCAACTTAAAAAAGTCAATAAAACAATTTCTACCCCATGATTTATAATGCTTAACAACTTTACCTAGAAGCCACACGAACATTATACTCCTTGCCAGGATGGTAAAATTCAGCAAGACCCCAATCTATCAAGCGAAGTTTTCGCAACTCATGATCTATCATAACATTGTGAGGTTTGACATCTCTGTGCATGATTCCCTGTGAATGGCAGTAATCTAATGCCTGCAATTTGAATACAGCTACTAATTTAGAATGAAAAAGTGCCCTAATAGCACCAATGAGCTGATGCTCCAAAATAGTTAGAAATTGATTTATTAAATTAAACTCTTCAAATTCTAAATTATGTTATCTTTGAAAATTGGGATAATAGAACCTTCCTGCCAGAATTCTCTTGCCAATCAGGTAAATCAAGCTTAAAATTGTGAAACAAAGTGGATTTAGTATGGAAAACTGTTTCTTCCAGAGGATAGTCTAAAAAAAGTTTGAAAGTCTCAATGGTAAAGGGAAGAACGCACAGTACCATTTGGCCATTTAAAAACCAATGAGACATCCTTCATCTTCAAACTAGTAAGTGACAAAATGACCTCAATATACTACTTGTATAAAAAAAAAAAAAAAAAAAAAAAAAAAAAAAAAGTGCATAAGAAAAGTTAATCATAAAATTCTTCCTTTTCTTTTAATTTCGTAAAGTAGATGGCAAATACTCTAGAAGTTAAGTAGGGTAAAAAATGTTTCAAAAAATCTCTTAGAATAAATCAAACAAATAGATGGCAACAACTAATTGTTGATTTGATGGCTTTGATTCAAACAAATGATAATGAAATAAAAAGGCTCCCATTTTTCAGTTCTCCTAATGACAGGGTTCACCAACCAAAAAATTTGATGGCTGAGCATAATTAAACATAATTCAGTTTTAAAGGAATACACAAGTGGGAAACATTTAAAAACATTAAAACTTAAATAACAAAACCACAGAAAACGTACCTTGAGAAGCTCATAAATGTAGTAGCGTATGTCATAATCAGTCAATGTGGGGTACAAAACTTTGAAATCTGTACTGTTCACATATTCAAATATCAAGCTAGGAGTTTTTGAGTGCTGATCTCTAACAATATCAAGAAGCTTGACAATATTTGGGCCCCCACAAAGGTTCTGAAGTATTTTTATCTCCCTTTTTATCTGCACAAAAGATAAATACAATCATCAAAGTTAGGCCGTGAACATTATCAAATAAACTAACAAATCATTATGTACACATGATATAAAATGTCATCTTATACAATAAACCATCTTAGATAACAATATCATGAAATATTACCCGATTTGGTAGTAAATTTATATTCTTCCTTCTCACTTAAACAACAGAAAACTTGTAAGCCAAACATCATAAATAAAGCAAGCAAGACAGAGATTGTCGAAAAAGTAACGTTCTGTAAAGCAGCATCTTTATTCATAAGCTACCTACCCTCATATGATAAGATATGAAGAAATTACCTTCTTTTTCTTAACAGGCTTGAGGATCTTGATCACACAACGCTCATTGCTATTAACATTTATGCCTTCAAAAACTTCACTGTACTTTCCTCGTCCAACCTTCCGAACAACCTCATAATCTTCTTGATCACTGAAACGAACATAGAAAAAAAAAAGTTAGAGAAGTATAAACACTATTATTACGTAGAAAAGCCGAGAATAACAAAAAGAAGTATACATCATAATTAATATAGCAGAAAAAAGCTAATATTATAGTTCTAACATATATTACTGTCAGAAGAAAATCATAATCGCATAAAACTTATCAGAAAAAGCCAATGACAGTGAATATAATATAACGGCAACGCTAACAACTTCATACAAAAGCGTATAAGGGGCAAAATGGTGAGAAAGGATTTTCTTAATCAGCTCCAACTAACTTATATATCAAACAAGTTTATGCATTTTCACCTTCTTATTCATTCATGTTTAAATAAATTAAAAATAATAAATCATATCACGCTTCACATTCCCATTTTTTTAAACCATATACAGCTACTACCCATTCATAACCAGCAATCAAATAAACTGACTCTTTTTTGCAAATAGAATTAAAAAAACATTTTATCATAAACAAATACAAAGTGAAAATGATTCTAAAAGAATCTCACATTCACTCATAATTTCGATCACTTTCTCTAAATCAAATATGCAAGTTTCAGAAGCTAAGTGATCTCTTGTAATACTTCGTTCCTCAATCACTAACAAAAACATTATTTATCGAAACAAAGGAAATTATAAAAATTATACAGTTTTCTTCATCAAGCATGAAAAATTCATTTCAGGAATCCAAAAGACTGCGGCTTCAACAGCGTGAAGAATAACTAATTACGAGATCCAATCAGTGACAGTAAAACTCAAGCTTAAACATAACATTAGAGTTGAAATTACCCCCATTGAACAGTGAGAGACTCGTAATCCCAGTAGTCCTTGGGGCGAAGAACGTTCACATCCGCATAAACTCGGGCCTTCGACATCACCGGGAACGAGATCTCGCAGAGATTAATTTTCTCGATCTTATCGATGGAACTATCGCGATAGATTATGGAGGTGAAGTTAAGGTCATGGGATGGGCAGGGGGTGTGCAGGATAGGATGGTCTGCAACAGGCGTACGCAAGGCGATGAGTGCGCACAAGAGAAGGAGACGGTGGGGCAGTAGTAGTGCTGCTGGGCGTGGGTTGTGATTTCTTAGCGCATCTTTCATGTGCATAACCACGAGGCCATTTGCAGTTTTTTTTATTTTATTTTATTTTATTTTATTTTATTTTATTTTTAGGGGGTTTGTTTTGCTGTTAATTGTTAATGGTATTAAATAAAATTTAAAATGAAAATGCGTTGGGTTAGGTTGGATTGGGTTGTGTGGGCCGAGTTCAGGCCATACTTGTAAAATATCGGAGCTCGGAGGGTTTGTGGAGATATATTCTTGTTTAATGCGACTGGTTGTGTACGCTTTGAGTGGAGTTCTTTTACGTGGCAGATGTTGTTTGGCTTTAGGAATACCTAATTTTTTGTTTATTTATATAAAAAATATGTTGAGACTAGTGTTTTAATAACCAATCCAGGGTGACATTCGACAAAGTGATTGGGTCCCGAGTTGACTGGATTAACTGGTTTGATTGACAAGTCAAACTGGTGTCCAAAGGTTTAAAATCCACAAAAACACCCTTGAAAATCACTATAAGTTGCTACAGATTTGAAATCTTGCAAAAACACCCCAAATATCACCGCCAACATCGACAACCCAAGGCAAATAGGGTATGTTTCCAGTGACTACAACACTCCCCATCACCATGAAAACACTCCCTTCAACCTCCTGACCAAAACCCATCTCACCCCTCTCCCGTTCGCTCTACTAATCGTCGACAATAACCTGCTATTTTGGCTAATCGATTTTTGCCTTTTTCGATTAATTCACTCACTGGAAATCACTCCCTTCACCACCTTTGGACTCACCGACACTCCCTCTCGAAAAAGCCTCAATATCCCTACTACCATATGCTCACCGACCACTGTCCATAATTCTAGAGTTTAGAGTGAATACTTGAAAGTGATAACCTAGCCTAGCAAAGGCCCTGGGTCCTGGATTGATCGGTTGAACCGGTTGGGCCGGGTTGGGTTTTAAAACACTAGTTGAGACAATATGACTTAATTTTTGGACGTTATTTATTAGTACTTAAATCCTTTTAAATCCAATGCTTAGAAACAAATCAACTCAACAACTTTTCATATATTTTAATTTGTATAAAGTTCCCATCTAAAAATGATTTAAACTTTTATATATTAGGACAAAATTTAAAGATTTATTGGTGATTTTTGTATTATTTATTTTTAAATTCTCTTACTAATAATATTATAGCTAGAAATTTCACTTATAATAAAAAAAGATAAATAGTACTTTCATTGTTCAGAGTGAAAAGTACTTTCTACACTGAAATAAATCGACTAAAATAGAACAATATTTAAAAAAATCTCAACAATGAATATAATAACTTACGATTTTATCTAAAAAAATTATATCAAATGACATTGTTTGGAGCTTTGAATTGAGAAGTAATAGTTTTTTTAAGAAATAGCAAAATCCTAATTTACACAATATTTTCAGACGATATTGCCTCGTATATAAATAAAACTTACCTACCTCTCTTCGTTGCCAAAATTCAAACTTTTAACCCTAAATCAATACCCACCTCCTATTTGTGCCAAAATCGAGCAGAATTTGAGTGGAAATACTGGTTTTGGATTTAGGGCTTTTGGTTGATTTTAGGGTCTAGAATGGAAGATATGTTGAAGTGTTGTTGAAAAGGGTGTGAAAATGGTCGGATAATTGAGTTGTATAGTGGTGAAATGGCGACTGAAATCTATGTTTTTTGGTCAAATAAAGGGGTTCAACTAGATTCGGCCAAAAAAAGTAGGTTTTGTTGAAAAAGATGAGGTTAATTTTTGGCTAAATATCTTGGATTTGGCAAAATTCAACCAAGACAGGGTCTGTCCAAACGGCTACATTGGCCGAATGGCATGGTTTTCACCATCTTAGTTTCACCAGGTAGAATTAGCTGAATCCGACCGAATGCAGCTGACATGTGGGTTTTGGCCGTCTTCAACCTCCAGACAATTTTCTATCTGAAGTCTCTGAAATTGGCCGAAACCCATACCCAAAGTACACTAAAAACATCAATTTTCAACATATCTACTGAAATATAAGTTTAATCAACTATAACAACAACAAATCATTTCAAAAATAACTTATTAAACATGTTTTCTAGACATACATAACATACTCAAAATTGTAGATTTCAAATAACAAAACTTTCATTCCAAAAATAATATATCAAGAAATCTGTTAAAAAGGTGCTCCTCAAGATCACAAATTCAAGTCTTCACTTAAGATTTTAGAGTGGAAGCAGGGCCGGCTTAAGGGGTAGGCAGGTGAGGCACCTGCCTAGTGTCACGGGCTGGGAGTTTCACACTCAAAAGGCTAATCTATTAGGTGGAGGGACTCCCCCCATTTATAAGCCCAAGACCTCCCCAATACGCTTCCAATGTGGGATTTGTTACATTCTCCCCCACCCAATCCTGTGACGCCCTCGTCACAGGTGGGGCCCCCTGCCTACCCGTCCACCTCACTCTCGTGTGGACCCACAATCACACGTGGACGCCCCTGCGTGGGCGCTTGGTAGGACATCGAAAGACGGATTGGGTCTGCTCTGATACCACTTGTCACGGGCTGGGAGTTTCACACCCAAAAGGCTAACCTATTAGGTGGAGGGACTCCCCCCATTTATAAGCCCAAGACCTCCCCAATACGCTTTCAATGTGGGATTTGTTACATTTACTTGTCACGGGCTGGGAGTTTCACACCCAAAAGGCTAACCTATTAGGTGGAGGGACTCCCCCCATTTATAAGCCCAAGACCTCCCCAATACGCTTCCAATGTGGGATTTGTTACACTAGGGCCCCCAAAAAATGGGGCCCAAATTTTTTATAATTTTTTTCTTTTTTTTGAATATCTTTCAAAATGAAAATAGTTTATAATTTTTTATCAAGCCAAGGGGCCCCCAAAAAAAAGCCAAAAAAACCCCAAATTTATTATGAACTTTTTACATATATTCTCACCCAAAGTTTGATAAAATAGTGAGTTTGTACCTCTAGTTTCATATATTCCAGTTTATATCCCTAAATTAACACATTGAATCTCTTTTAACAATGAAAGGCTAAAATAGTCATTTACATATCTCAAATTACTTATCCCCAATTCAATCCCAAAATTTGACATTCACATAAATCATCTTTAACCCTCTCCTGCCGCCAATGGTTTGGAGTTGATTTCGATCGATTTTCTCACCAAAATCGATCGAAATCATCATTTTATCATTTCCCAACCTTGATAGCCCTTGATTTGGGTAATTTTTGATGAATCTTGCAACCCAACTCCACCACACGACAGCCATTTCTAGCTTTTTCGACATGTACCCAACATTATTGGCCTTTCCCGACACCACCATCTTCCTCCCCTCAACCCTCTCACCAAAACCCCTATCATATCTCATCTGTTTACTTTGCGAATCGCCGACCACCGATACCTTTTGGGCCGTGACTTCTCAAGCCTTTTCTTATCAATCTTGGCATTGAAAATCACCTATTTCACCACCCATCACTTCTCCAACATCTACTCTCCAAAACCCCCCACCAGCCTAACCTTGTTAGCCTACCGATTGTTGTCCACCTCTCTTAGTGATTTTTCATCTCATAAAAAAAAAAAATTAAAATAACTTTTTTAATATGTGCTTATATTATTAGAGGGCCCCAAAGTAACTCCTGCCTAGAGTCACAAATGTTGTAGAGACGGCCTTGAGTGGAAGCATGAGTTTTGAATTAATGGTTAGGGGTTTTTCATTAGGGGCAATTTCATCTGCCAATTTTGTGCTAAATGGAAATATGCTGTTTCTTGAGACACTGTGCTAGTTCTCAAGTCTCAACTCCTCCATTGTGTCATTTGATATACTTTATCTTTTATCCATATTAAGAGTCTTTCAATAATTTTTTCGTTTTTATTCTATGCCCAAGGTCCCAAACCCAGCCTTCCAATCCAGCTGCAAAAAACCCAAGACCAGAATTTGGAATCCCATTGATCACATTCGCATTCCCGCTCTTCACTCTTTTCTTATATGAAGATTTCCGCTACAGTTCAAACACAAGCAAAGAACTCAAAAACAGGGAGGGTAGTGTGGCTGGTGCTTCTTTGTGAGTTAGCCACGTAAAAGGCTTGCTTGACTATGTCTAAGTATATCTGATAAGATCACATCACTTGTCATTACCTCTTAGGGGCGTTTGGTTTAGGAAATGTTAGATTACTGGGAATGTTAAATTACTGAAAAAATATATTACTTTTAAGGTCAGTTTGGTTCGCGGTTAAGTGACATTACTGGGGTAATGTCATCTTATATTACTTGATTACCACGTTTGGTTGTCAAGTAATATAAGATACCAGTAATCTTCAAATACCAATAGTGGTTACTATTGGTAATATAAGAGGTAATCTGATTACCTCCATTTTCTTAGGTTTTCTGAGATTACCAGGGTTATCTTTTTTTGTTACAATTATATCCCTTATTAATAAAAATTTTGGACAATAATACCCCTACTTTAAAACAAATTTACATTAATATCTTATTTCAATTTTACCCTTGTTTAATTAAAATTTTGGACAATAATGCCCTTATATTTAAAATAATTTATAGACCACCACTGCCACCAAGCCACCACCACAGCCACCCAGCCACCACCGCCGACAGGGGGTCAACCACCACGGACCACCGCCGGAAAATTGCCGGAGTCCCTAAAAACACTGGAAATTCTATGGGAGGCTCCGCTATGGCCGTTTTTGGCCATATTGATGGCCGAAAACGGCCATATCGGGCCGGAAATGGCTAGATCTATTCTGGCCATTTCCGACCAGATCTGGCCCGATATGGCATTTTCGGCCATCAATATGGCCAAAAAGGGCCATAGCGGAGCCTCTTTGTCACGGTGACGTACTCACGGGGACATCCGGCGGTGGTTCGCGGTGGTGGCAGGAGGTGGGGGTGATTTCGTCAAAAATTAAAGTTTTATATAAGCGGGGGTGTTTTAGCTAAATCTGAAATATTGGGGGTCTAAAAATTATTCAAAAATTAACAATAAAAATAATTTTATATTAATATTTAAAAGGGGGACAATTTAGTAATTTAAATAGCATACCCACCAATTTATTCCCCATAACCAAACATATTAATATAACATACTCACCAACCAACCAAACATATTTTTCTAAAGATTCCCAGTAATCTTTCAAGGTAATCTATCTTTCCAGTAATTCAACATTCCCAGTAATCTAACATTCCTGAACGAAACGCCGCCTTAAGATTACTAAGAATCTTTAGGAAAATGTGTTTGGTTAATTGGTGGGTATGTTATATTAATATGTTTGGTTGGAAAGAATAAATTGGTGGACATGTTATTTAAATTACTGAATTGTCCTCTAATTAAATATTATTTTTTAATATTATTATTATTTGGATTACTATAAACCCCCTACATTAAAAAACTTAGCAAAAACTACCCCATAATATAAGCTTGGAAAATCAACAAAACACCCTCCACCAACCCAGCCTCTGCCGGCCGCCGACAACCACCACAGGTCGCTGGTAGTCGGCAGCCTAACGGCACACAGAAGGCCAAAAATGGCTGTTGTGCTCCGCTATAGCTCTTTCCGACCAGATATCTATCTAGTCGTTGACGGCCAGATCCGTCGATCTGGCTGTCGACGGATCTAGTCGTTAACAGCATATCGATGCATGACGGCCATTTTCGGCCTACCGTGCACCGTTTCGGCGGTGGCAGCTGACTGCGGCGATGGTTATCGATGGCAGGTGACGACAGGTGGCCGGTGGTGGTGGCTTGGATGGGCTATAATTTGTTTTGAATTCAAGGGTAATTTTGTCCAAAAAACTAATTAAATGGGGTAAAATAGTAAAAGCCATATTCATGTAAATAAATTTAAAAATAAGGGCATTATTGTCCTAAAATTCTATTAATAAGGGATAGAATTGTAACAAAAAAATATAACTTTAGTAATCTTAGAATACCTAAAAAATGGAGATAATCAGATTACCTCAAATATTACCAATAGTAACCACTATTGGTATTTGAAGATTACCGATATCTTACATTATTTGACAATCAAACATAATAATCAAGTAATATAAAATAAATTAACCCGATAATCTCAAATACCCTCTACCCAAACGCCCCCTTATGATTATCAAAAACACCTTATATCATTCAAAAGAACATGTTGATGTCATTAGTCATCACACGAACATGTACGCCATTTAGCAGACCTCTTAAAATCAGGCTAGTTATGCAATTAGAGCATCTATTTCCAAAATTGTAAAAGACATTCTATATTTGATCAACAATCAGAAGAAAAATTTGGGTTGAAAATTTAATACAAGCTGGTGAATACAGGTACATTCCACTGAAAAAAATTCCAGGTTAAAAGGAAGAGAGGGGAATGCTTTCACCATTTTCTCAAATATTCATACAGCTTTAGGTTGGATTTGCTCAAAATCAAAAAACTCAAACATAAGGCGCCTTACATCTGGCTTTCCATAAACAGTGTAAGCAAGCCCATGAATGGCTTGTTGAACAGCAGTAGTGGCAGGATTTCTCAGTCTTCGATTGTGTTCATATGCATCTTGAACCTGTTCAGAATAAGCTATAAATCGATGGAGATTCTTTTCCCTCAAATACCTCCCACAGAACTTGTTCATAAGAATACGTCGGTGCTTCTCCTGCAGCCAGTGTCCAGGAGCATCTAGATGCTTCATCAGCAACCTCTCAGCCATTACAATGTCCTAAAAATATTGAAATCGATAAACTTGAAAATGAGTTTAACAATGAAAGTTTTGCAGTTATCTTTTTCACCACCTATGTTTTACTTCAAATTTGTAGTAAAAGGAAAAGTATAATTTCATTCAAGTTTAATAAACCAAACATTTGTCTGCATGTAAACATGCTCAAAATATATAAGAATTAACACAAGAAAAGCCATTAACCTGGATTTTTTGGCCAACATACTCCAGACGCTCATAGCAAAACCGAGGATGCTCAAACTTGTGTTTTGATGGATGCAAGAAACAAAGCTGTATCCATGAAGAAATGAATCAATAATTCATACGTGAATTTACAAACATGAAAGAAATCAATATAAATAACATATCTTTTGTATATGGATATTGACAAACAAATAAATTAACTTGAAAAGTATATATGACAAATAATGTCATAAACAACTTCAACGCATTCAAAAATTTAGACAGTTATAAATATGAACACCGATGCTTGTGGTCAAAATCAGGATTGATCAGCACTTCTGCAGTAAGTATCCTGATCTACTCTAACATTGCTAATAGAATACAGTGCATACTAGATCAACGTATTACTTTTGTTAATACCCAAAAGTACCTGAAACTTTCTTATGTGTTCACAGAGTTTAAAACTAGGGTGCTACTTCTAGTACAATCTTTTTAGCCAGGAAACTTGTGAATAGTATTTACCAAGTTGGTCGACCCAAGGGAATCAAACCCTTGGCCTGGTTGAAATCAAGGGTCTTTACCTCTCAGTATAAATGCTAGCAATATGGCCAATATAGATGCAAATATTAAAACATAAATGTTACAAAAAGAAGTACCTGTAGCCCAAGTCCAAGTTCGATATTCCTGGCTTCGGTAATTTCTGGAATCCTGTCTTTTACCGCCAACGGATAACCCAGAATTTGCGTAACTTGTGGTCTGCTGTCATAATCCCATAGATTTCCTCGAAACCGATGCATACCAGGTGGAACACAAGCCCTAAAAAGCCTTGGATGTGCAAAAAGAGCATCTTCAGGTGGCTGAAAGGAGATAAGCATTAGCTAAAGGACTGCTTCCAACACGAACAACAATAAAATCCCCTCTTTCTATAATAAAAGTAAATTGTAAACAAATTGATTGCACTATTGTTTAAGCATAATTACTCATACATCATCCCAGCAATTAGCTTCAAATATTACTGCCTGTCTGTGATTCTAAACTGCCTCTGACATCCAAATATAATCTTATCCACTAAAAAGCTTCTAATTGCAATAAATGAATCCCCAGGCTGTGTTATGCAAGATGAACGCAATCTTTAACTTCTGTTTCTAGTCCTAACATCATATATGTTCTCATTTTTAATTGATAAATTAGATAAGAATGAAAGGAGAACAATATGAAGCTTGCCTTATAAGCAGCAACATCTTGCCAACTGAGTTTTTTGCCTTCAAATTCAACAGATACATAATCTACATCTTCAAGTTGCCGCCTTAACTTTGGCTGACAGTCCTCATCTTCTGGATCCATCCCAAATACTTCAAAAAGAACACGATAAACTTCTGGCAGACCAAAGCACAAATATATAGCACCGAACAGAGCCCAGAACACAGACCTGAACATCACAACATCAATATAATACCCATTATGTTCTATCTGTTAATTGATATCTTACAGCCTGCTAACCAAACCCATTATGTATGACAATATTACAACAAACTAGTAAATTATACATAATGCTGAACACTTGTTATTCAGCATAGGAAGAAAAAGTCTATAACTTCAAAACATGGCATATTGCAGGAGTAAGATATATTTATGATAAGCTTCACTAAATAACAGAAACAGGACTATCAACAAACGTCACTATAATAAAAATTTGAATGTGAAACCGTAGAATTAGAAACCATATACAATGATTATCTGAATCACATGCTCTAAATTTTTAAGGTTAAAAAATTCAAGTGGAAATCTCAATCAACTTTCATTCTACCTCCACTATATCCAATAGAAATATCTCTTTTACAGACTATTGTATACTTGATGAGTGCACATATGCATAATTGAATGGCCTATTGAATGCTGATATTTTTTCTTCTCAAGAAACACAACGTCCCAATTGATAGGATTCAACATTCATAACTTCATCAACACATGTTTCAAACCATTAACAAAATTGTTATCTGATAATGACCTCTAACTATATAATTGTCCTGACAGCAGCATTAATCAGAAAACCTTATCAGAATATCATAAATCTACTGCATTAGGTTTTTATCATCTAGATGTTTAGCCCTGCAGTTGCAGTTACCTTTCGAGGGACAACACAATCATCAAACCTATTTTTCTGATGTTTGATACCCATCTCAGTCTTGTAAATTTTAAATAGTAGTTCGAGTGAAAATAAGACTTTCGTAAAGCATGTCGCACAAGCAACTAACATGAACTTCATCCAGTAGCTTCAACGCTGGCAAAGAACCTAGAAGGAAGCACATAAGTTTATATAATTGTCACAGGCCGATCATATGGTTCTCAATTCAGTTGATCTCTTTGTGTTCATCCCCTGAAGAAGGGAGAGACTGGAGACTGTAAAGATCCCAGCAAACTGTTTCCTAATATAAATAGCAATTAGAGCAAGTGGAGCACCCCACGACAAAGAAGCCAAATTTCAACCATGCAACATCCTGATGCTCTTGTAACAGGATGCAGTATTAATACTATTACATCCTATCAACTCTCAAACACAGACCTTACTCGCAATGGTCTAAGGAGTGCATGATGCACATTACAGTTGTTGAAACAATAAAAACAATGTTTTATATTCCAAAAACATAATTAAAAAATGAAAAATGAAAGCAGTGTTTAGAGAAAAGAATGCTGTACCCTTCGGGTTTAGAACTGCTCACCTCCAATACAAAAGCAGTTTTTGTAAACAACCAAAGTTGGTATACTTAAGTGATCCACTATAAGAACCTAAACTCATTGATACTGAAAAAAGAACAAATAGCAAATTCAACTTCAGCAAAATCTGAAAGAACTTAAAAATGATCAGAATGGTTGAAAATGGTGCTTTTCGCTGAAGATGCCTGGCTCGTCAAAGCATGACATAGTGCTATAAGGCACATGTCATTCATAGTGATCACACAAATAAATATTAGAGACGAGCAGCTAAAATGTCAGAGATCTGTAGAATTACAGAGGAGCTCTTCCACAATTAATTTTCTAAGAAGTGTGCCACTTCTGGTGCCCCTTAAACGTACAAAATCACAATAGAGCCGAACAAGCAACTCAATACCATTCAACAACATCAAACCATAACCATATAATAAAGTTTTTAACATAAACAATTACAATCAGCAATACTCTGATCAAAGTTCAAGCAGCAATGCACATAGGATGCGTTTCTCTCAATCACATATCTAATCCATACATAAACTTATACAGTTACGAATTGAAATAGAAAACCAACAAAATAAACAAAATATCAAAAACACAAACACAAACACAAACACACAATAGAAGCATAATAATGAGATTAACAGAAGCAAACTTACTTGCAAGGCGGTTCCCGCTCTTTCCTAATGAGCTTATCAATATCATCATAAGGAAATACCAAATTCTGCAACCTAGCAGCTTTAATCCACTTGGGCAAGTTCCTCTTCCCAATCAATCCAAACACTCTTTCTCTCATTGGAGCTGGCGATTCTCTCGGATATCTTTGCAAAAAATACTCAGCAAACGCCAATTCAAGCACATACTGTCCCAAAAAACACAGTCTTGAATGCCCTGACCTCACGTGCCTGGCCTTTGTCCTCTCACATGCCGGATGCTGAAACGCCAGGTACAACAACGTATCAAAATGCTTAGCTGGATTATCATCTCCTAATTCCTCAGATGCCTCTAAAGAATAACCTAGAGCCTGTTTCGCCTCAAGCAAGTACTCGTCCATCCACGTTTTGTCAGCATTGTTAAGACGTGAAGAGGGCAAGCAAGAACTTAACAAAGGGAAGGATTTTAGAGACAGTTGTGGGCTTTTTAAAAACCTATCCGCTAGTTTTTTGTCGTCTAGTGGTGGTCTTAAAATAAACCGTTTTGGGGGAACTTTTTTCTTTGGAGATGTTACTTTTTTCCTCTGTGCAAGCTCTTTGAGAAGTTTCTGTGGGCTGTTTTGTGGTTGTTCTTGTTGTGGGTCTATTGCTACAGCCAAAATTCGCAAATTTTGAGAGGTGAGTTTGGTTAGTTTTAGAGTTTTAGGACAAATTTGGAGAGGAAATGGAGAGATTGAAGAAGAGAAAGAGATGTTATCAGAAAAAAGAGAAGAACAGTTTGGTTTTGGATGGCTGAATAAAGAAGAAGAGAGGTCCATGTTTAGAGAGTGATAATTGTTGAAGAGAAAATGAACTGGGTTATGTTATGTTGCCATTGATGGAGGGTTTAGTGTGTTGGGTTGCAGAGGTTTTGCGATGTTGAGAGTAGTGTGGGGGGGACTAGGGACTGGGGAGGATAAGGTGAAAGAAAAGAAGCGTGACGTGGTATTGATTTGTACTGACTGTAGAGATCGGGCTGATACGGTGTCGTTTTAGTGAGTGAAATCTAAAGACTCAAAAGCAGCGTCGTTTTTTTCCCTTTAGGGAAATGGATATGATATGCATAAAGGTTTCAAATGGGGCGTATATTTCCTGTAGGGGTGGCAAAACAGGTGTTGAGTGTTGACATGCCAACCCGACATGAATACGAGACAGCAGGTTGAGTTGACATAGATAATATTTAGGTTGAGTTCGAGTTTCAAAATTCAACACGATTATTCAAACAACTTGTGAACTAACAATTCCATAAATTGAGTTATCTTACGAATTAAGTTAAATCGGATTCGAGTCTATTAATCCATAATAGTCTCAACATAGTAACTAAAATTTTATTTACTTTCCACTTCAGTTAAGATCCAAAGTTTTACTTGAAATGACAACTCTAATCTAATAAAGGTAAATAATAACATTTCTTTTCTAATTCAGACTCTTTAACCAAATATAACTTATAGTTCTATTAGAATTTCAAGTTCTTTGATTCACTATATAAACAGATGTCAGATCCCTCATTATGCATTTATAATTCACATATAACATTAGCTTATCGTGAAGCTTAATTCTGACTAACTTTATTACCCTTAGCCACTACAAAGTTGTACTCCGACCACTTATATATATATAATTCTAAATATAATTATTCTATAAATTATATATTAATATTTTGTTCATATATAATGATTTATACACAATACCATAACATATAAGTATAATTTATATCAATTTTATGTCATAATTAATATTATTTTCAATGATAGAGTTTAAAATTTAAATGATAATGCAATTAATGTATCATGTTTTATCATATAGTTTTACAAATACTCAATGTCGACAAGTAAGACTCCATAAAATTGACAATTGAGATATAATATCATAATACAGTGCATACTCTTTGGGATATATAAATTAATAGGATGAAACTGTAGAGCATAAAAGGGTATAATATCTATATTTGTGGCTTACTTGAAACATTGAACTTGTAAAATGTTAATAGGTCTTGAAGACTAGTTGAAATGCATAAAAACTAGTTCGGACACTCTGGTTATAAAAAAAAAAAAAAAAAAAAAAAAAACAAAAAAAAACAAAACATGGCGCGAGCACAATGTGTTTATCAAGATCAAAGGGATTTGATGCTGATTTGAGTTGTGTCAGTTACTAAAATATGTCTGGCAGAGGGCAACTCAAATGAAAAAAAAGGAAATCCAGGGATCGTTTGGTTTAATATTTCTATCTCTATTCCCAATCATATTCCTAAAATATTTGTTTGTTTAATTATTTAGGAAATACTATTATATTTTTTTAATTACTTTTAAACCCCTTAAATTTATTAATTTCATTAAATACCAAAAAAAAGTTTAAAAATTCACAAAAACATCCCCACCCACCTATAGTTGCCAGAATTTGGCAACCAATAGTTGCTAGATTCCGACAACCACCATTGGTGATAGCCGGAATCTGTCACAACGGTCTACAAACGACCATAACTTGTCGATACTTCACCGATCTGGCTTTCGTTGACCGACAACGACTATCATATCTTTGGTCATCGCTGACTAACAACGACGACCACGGCAAGATCTGGCCTTTTGCTGCCGTTGACTGCCAGATAGACGCATGTCTGCATCATAACGCCAGATTCCGACCAGATTCCAACGGTGGTGGCCGGAATCTGACACTGTAGGTGGGTGGGGACTGTTTTTATCATTTTATAAAATTTTTATATATTGGGGTGTTTAGTTAAATTAGCAAACTTAGGAGGTTTTTTTTGTAAATTTTTAAATTTTACCTTGTAATAACTAATAATCACCCTATTCAACTATCCAATACTATATCTAAAATCCTATCTAAAATAATAAACCAAACTCACCTAGATTATTGACATAACAAAGGTTAAAGTCTTAAAAGACCGATTTTACAAGCAGTTGGAGCTCCGTCTTTACTAAACATACCCAATGGTAAATGGGTTGTCCAAACCCAATGATATACAACCCAATTAAACTGGTTGGGTGATTAACCAACCGGCCCAACCCAACCCAACCCAATTACTATTAGCGCCTTCTAGTTCTCTCCCGCTACCATTTCATTTGGACACTTGCCCTCTTCTCCTTGTCAAGGAAGCATTGTTTTGAAGATACAAGGAGCGGAGGGATGGAGAAGGAGAAGAACGAAAGCTCATCATCAAATGGAAATCCAAAGCCGTGGCAATCTTATCACACTGTTTACACCAACGCTAAAGCAGGTTTCTCTGCTCCACCAATTTCTAATTTTACTCTAACCATGTCGTACCATTCAATATGAATTAATTTCAAATTCGATGGGATAGTCTTTTCGTAACGAAATTGAATTCGGTTATGTAGAGATTCTAAATTGTTTGTTTTTAGTTTTAGCTAATGAATTTTGCATGAAATGGCGGTGTTTAAGGTATGGATGGAGTGGACAAGGAGAAAGTGCAAAGAGTTGTGTATGAGATGAGCAAGGGATCCAAGTATTTTGAGAACGAGGAACGCATGGAAGTCTTTATTAGGCAGAAAATTGAACACATGCGCGCTCGATGTGCCAAGCTTACACCACATGACATCTCACACTATCTGAAGGTGCATATATAATTATATCTCCACATTTATGTTTAATTCACTGCATGATTTCCACATTGAGTATCATATAGTACTGATGGCATCATACTTGTAATCAACATTTATCTTTTTTTTTCTTTTTCTTTTTTACCAAATCTTTATTGTTGATGCAGTTCTGAATTCGCAATTTCAATTTCAATTTCAAGAACTAGAGCTATTAGATCTTTCACTAGATTAGTAATATTTCTAGATAAGTGCCTCTTCGTGAAGTCCTGCCTGTGCCAGATGCTTATGTTGGAAGTGCTTCTGTTTAGAAGTACTGAAGTACTTCAAAAGAAAACATACTATAAATATTATTTTCTTACATTTGTGCTATTAAAACAAGGACAAGGGTCCAGGAGGTTGCTTGATGAATTGGCCTGAATGAATCCACATGATGTTTATATATTTCTGTCAGGGCATAGTTTTTTTATGTTGAAATTGGGGACGTTTCTATGGCTGGGTGCATATTCTGAAACTATTTTCTTATTGAAGAGCAAGAAGGAAAACAGAGTGTTTTAATATTGCTGAACAATGCCTGCTGCTTAAATCTAGAGTTTATTATGCTTTCTACAGGTAGCGGATACCAGAGTTCCAGAACTAGAAGCTACACGTGACCTGTCTAGAACTTGGCTACATGTAGATATGGATGCTTTCTATGCAGCTGTAGAAACATTGAGTGATCCTTCTTTAAAGGGCAAGCCAATGGCTGTTGGCGGCATGTCAATGATCTCCACTGCTAATTATGAGGTCAGTTTCTAGGGAAATCATCACAAATGATACTTTACCAGTCTTAGTTTCATTTCTAAATTTTTTGTGAAAACACTTTGATCATTGTAGGCGCGAAGGTTTGGGGTTCGTTCTGCAATGCCTGGCTTCATTGCACGTAAACTGTGTCCAGAATTAAATTTTGTTCCCACAGATTTTAAGAAGTATACGTATTACAGTGATTTAACTAGAAAGGTTAGATTTCTGCTTTCAGAAAAGATTTTGTGATGAACATGCAGTTATCACTTGCAAATCTCTTAATTTGCTCCCTCTGCTTTTTAGTTTTCCACAAACTATGATCCTAACTTCATGGCAACTAGTTGGATGAAGCATATCTTGACAATACAGAGGTCTGCCGAAGAGGGGCATTAGCAGTTCAGAATAGTAAGTTAGTGCATATAAAGTGCTATTAATTTCCCAAAATAATACATTTCTATTCTCCTAATTGTTCTTGTATAAAGTCTTTATATCAAGCTTTGATAGGTCTTATATCGTCTGTTGTTTTGATATATGAAGATTGCTGAGAACTCAGAACCAGAGTTATGAAGACTGGTTTGAATGTAGTGCAGGAGTAGCACCAAACGCTTACTTGCTAAGGTTCTTCTGGCAGTTCTCTAAATATAACTGTAATTATTTTTGTTGGATGCCATCATGGGTCTTCTGAACATATTAAACAGCTATGATGAAATCGAATGTAAAATATCCATTCATTCCATTCTGATAAATTTCAGAATTCTGCATAAGAAGGCATTTTTTTCATTATAGAATGAGAAAAATTAAAAGGAATGATGTGGTATCTTCTTCTGGAAAATTCAGTGCAGTTTTGGTGGAGAAAAAAGATGAAAGTTCAATATGTTGATGAATGATAAATTTTGGTGGAGAAAAAAGATGAAAATTCAATTTAATGGCGCTAGTTAGTTTGGTCAGTATTTTGTTCAGTGCAATCTCGATTTTAAGTGAACAGTTTGTATTACACATAAAATTTCAGTTAAATGTGGAGCACAGGGCTGCTCAGTTGAGAAACAGAGAAAAGTAGGCAAAAGCTTGATGAGGATTATGGGATGTCAAGTTGGACAACAGCAAAGCTAGAAGAGAGATATAAATAGATTTTAGACATTTGAGAATTATCCCAATAGATTACAAGAAGTTTTTGTAATTTATATATGAAATATCCACTTGAGTGCAAGCATCATTGTTGTTGATGTGTTTAAATTTCTAATATTCTTTTAAATGCTTGCAATTCATTTGCTTTTCTATCACTTGCTGTGTGCCCCATAATTGGATAGGAAAAATGTATTAGAAACTCGAGCAATGCAATACTTTACCATTGCATTTATTTTATTTTGATAGGTACTGTTTCATCTTTATCTTGTTGCTTCGGGTATTATCTGCAGAAAGTAAATGATCATGTGCCTTCACAATCTTTTTCTTTCTGAAGTTCTTATAATTGAAAGTTACTGTGATTGTTGGCTGTTGCATGCATAATATTTTCTCTTCCCTGCTAACTTTTTTTTGCTTTCAAAGTTGGATTAGCACACAATGATAAAGTTTGTTAATCCTTTAGAGAATATCATTCTTCAGGTTGCTAGATATTAACAAGCCAAATGGACAGTTTGTTTTACCAAATGACCGGATGGCTGTGATGACATTTATATCCCCTTCCATTAGAAAGGTTATATGTAATTTGCTAACTTGTGGAGAAACTTTGTACCATCTTATTTGAAACGATTCTTTGTTTGTGGAAAGACATCTTTGAGATGGTACGAATCAACAATTGAAATTTTTTCTAATATACAATTGACAACTTATCTACAGATTGGAGGCATTGGTAAGGTCACTGAACATATTTTAAGAGACGTTTTTGGAATTAATACATGTGAGGAGATGTGGAAAAGGGCAGTTTTATAGTGCACTATTTTCAAATTCACAGCAGGTTGCGCACTGGTCAGTTTGTGCCACTCTTCTTAATTGTATCAGTTGATTGTATGTAAATTAAGATGCATGTGTAAAGATGATATTACCAATTACTCTTTTTTTTACGGTCTCTTGCTTTCTATATGATTGATGGTCCCATTTTTCATAAGATCTTTTTCTACCTTGCTGGGGTCTTCTGCATTGCATTTCTTGTTTTTCCTTTTGCTTGGACGGTTATTGGTTGGACATCTCTCAACAATCCATATAGAACAAGAAATCAATTGATGGATTGAATGATACTTGACGTAACTGGGCATTTTGATACTTACTCTGCAGTTAATTTAAAGTGATCTCTGTGAGCGCAGCATTACACATTTGTATCTAGTATTTAATTTTTATAAATCGTCACGAGCAAAAAAACAAACAGGCAAATTACAGATAGGAGAAGCAATCGGATTTTTTGGTTCTGAAGACATTTCATTATTGCAGATTTTTTCTCTCTGTCGGACTGGGGCTTGGAGGTACAGCTACCCCTCAAATCAGGTCCAGAAAAAGTATGAGTAATGAGAGAACCTTCTCAGCCACAGAAGACAAAGCATTTCTTTATCGCACATTGGGTAAGTGACTTAAAAATGTGTTCTCTCTATCCAAATGTATTGTGGGTAATGCTTTGTTACGGAGCCATTGCTTGCTTGCTATCATTGTCCTGTCCTTTTGCTGTTCCATGTTTCAAATTCTGAAACCCAAGATCACATATGTCATGTAAGGCCTTTTCAAAGTGTTGATATTGTATTGGTATTGACATTATGAGATCCTGACCTGCAATTCCACTAACAATACCAACAATCTACCAACAGAACACAACCAACACTACAATCAATAAAGAAAATAGTTGTATTAATAACCACACACAACATTACATCCAGTGAAGATACATCCAGAAGCCATGTCCTATCAGCACTCAAGCACATAACACTGAGAAGTAAGGCAAGTACACTAAGAAATGATAAATGAAAGACTGATCGAGGGTCAGCCACCTCACCAAATACTGACTTCGAGGGTCAGTTGCCTTCCTTCAACTTAACTTTTTAATTCTGAATTCCTCTCTCTCCCCTCTCGTTTTTATTCTTCCTGACATTGATAAAACCCCAGGATTAACAAGCAACAAGCAACAACAAAATCAGTCAAGGAACCACTTCGCGAGACAGATTTGTGGTGGATTGAATTGGGATTGATATTAAGAACTGAAATTGGTAAAAACAGAGTAATTTTCCAGGATGAAATGAAGAAAAAAAACAGAAGATAAATCCCAGCAGTTCGAGGAGCTGGGGACCTCCTTTCACACTCACAATTTTCTCCTTTTTAACCAAAGGCTCTCCCTTTATACATGAATCATCTACAACTTTTATTCCCTTCTAACTAATTGGTTCACACGTCACCTGCCTCCAGCTCTCTCCACTCAGCATGCTTCTCCATTCCAACCAAATCTGTTAGTGGCTTTTTACCTTATGCCCTCTGTGCTGGTAAACCTTCTTGATAGGTGGTCTATCAATACCTCCCACTTGAAGAACCACCTTGTCCTCAAGGTGAAAGTGAGGAAATTGAAGAGTGATGGTGTCGGCCAACTCTAGGTTGCTTCAAATGGGGCTAAATCCTTCCACTTATAAGGACTTCCGAGAGCCATTCACTAGTGTGCGGACTGCCAAGACAAATTTCGGTGAACTGCAGCTCCATGTCCTCTGTGAGGCAGAGGATGGTAGGGTTGGATAGGGACCGAGCTGTGCAGACTGCGCTTGAGCTGAGATACGTGAAAACGGGATGAATTTTGGCTGTGGAAGGCAACTCCAGCTTTATATGCACCTGTCCAATTTTTTCCAAAAGGGGGAATGGTCCATAAAACGTGGACTCAACTTTTCATTGAGTTAGAAGCCAGAGACCTAAAGCGGTAAGGCTGAAGCTTCCAAAATACTTGGTCTCCAGGCTGAAAGTTACATCCCAGTGATGGGCATCTGCCTGTGATTTCATATGGTTCTGGGCAGTACTCAGGTTATGTTTCAGTATGTCCAAGATGGGTTACGATCGGCCATTGCTGATTGACTTTTCAACCAGTGAAGGATAGTCGGTGAAGCGGAGGAGAAGAGTGGGGGGTCACGGCCGTAGGTGCTTTGAAAGGGTCATCTGGTTGCACTATGAAAAGTGGAATTATACAAAATTCGGCCATGCTACCCACCGTGGCCATTGTTTAGGCTGGCTGCTATAAAACAACGGAGATAGGCTTCTAAACAACGGTTAACGATTTCCGTTGGCCATCGGTTTGGCGATGATACGCGGAACTGAATTCAGCTTGGTACCTACAGCTTTAAACAATTCTGCCAAATAGACTGACAAACACTCGGTCTCTGTCGGATACAATTGAGTTTGGAAACCCATGCAGTCAAAAACCTCTGAAATAAACAGATCAGCCACATCCTTGGCCGTATAGGGTGACATAAGGGAAGGAAATGACCATACTTAGTTAATCGATCCACCATGACCAAGACGTGTCGTATCCTTTGGCTTTAGGCAGCCCCCCGTAAAATCCATACTAATGTCTTCGAATACCTGGTGGGAATGGGTAAAGATTGGAGCAGACTGCAGGTTTAAGGGCTGAAGTTTGTTCAATTGATAGGTGGCACACTGTTGAACAAATGTTTGAACATCTCTTTTAATACCCTCCCAAAAAACTAGATTCGTCACTCGTTTGTAGGTTCTAAAAAATCCAGAATGACCACCAGCAGGACTGTTGTGGAATTCCTCCAACAAACGCGGAATAAATTAGAAGATTGGAATCACCAACCTGTTTTGTTAGAGCAGACGCCGCGCGTAGACTGTATATCGGGGACTCTGGGATCAAAAAGCAAATCTTGGATGATAGTTCGAAGCTTTCATCTTGCTGTGCTTCAGCCGCCAAATCATCAAATTCTGAGAAGGTAGCTAGCGAGACAGCAATGAATTCCATGTCTTCTCTGCGGGAGAGGGCATCAGCCACGTGGTTTGAAACCTAGTTGATACACGATCTCAAAAGAGTAACCGAGAAGCTTAGAAATCCATTTTTGCTGTTCAGGTGTTTTCACCCTCTGATCTGTCAGGAACTGCAGACTGCGCTGGTCCGTTTTGATAGGAAACTTTGCCCGTGGGTAGTGACTCCATTTTTGAACCGCGAACACTATGGCCATTAACTCTTTTCATATACTGATTTTTGTTTGGACTGATGGGAAAATGCTTTACTGATGAATGCTATGGGATGCTGGTTCTGAAGTAAGACAGCTCCCAATCCTTGGCCCGATGCGTTGTGTGGACTTCAAAAGGAAGATTGAAATCAGGAACAGCTAGCACAGGCACGGATGACATGGCTTTTTTCAGGTTATCAAAGGTTTGTGGGCTTGTTCATTCCACCCGAAGGCATCTTTCTGTGTAGTTTAGTCAGTGTGGCTGAGCTATTGACCCATAATCTTTCACGAATCTACGGTAATATCCTGTTATATCCCAAGAATCCCCGCAACCCTTTGATAGTCTGTGGAACAGGCCAAGATAGCATGGATTCACCTTGGTTGGTCTGCCTCCACCCTTTCCGCCGAAATCAAATGTCCCAAATATTCAACTTCAACTGACCAAATATACATTTTCCGGTTGACAACCGGCTCGTTGTCGGTCAAGATTTGGAAGGTGTATCGCAAGTGAGTGAGGTGGGCTTCTAGGTTGGGCTGTAGACTAGGATATCCTCAAAAATAACAGTACAAACTTCCTTAAAACTGGTCTGAAAATGGTGTTCATTAGAGCCTGGAAAGTGGAGGGAGCGTTAGTCAGCCCCAATGACATGACCAGGAATCGTAATGCCCCTCGGAGTCCGGAAAGCTGTTTTCGGCACATCCTCGGGCCTAACTGTGATCTGATGATATCCGGGTTTCAAATCCAACTTAAAAAAACTTTCGCTCCAGCCAACTCATCTAACAGCTCACAATTGAAGGTATGGGAAATTTGTCGGTATGGTTATGTTGTTAAGGGCGCGGTAGTCAACACAAAACGCCAGTTATCTTTCTTTTTAACCAATAGCACCGGGCTTGCAAAAGGGCTAACACTTGGTTGGATTATTGGACAGCAGCATTTCACCACCAACCTTTCTATCTCATTTTTTTTTATTGTAGGAATATTGTGTGGGGCGTAGGTTAGGGGTTTGGAGGATTGTTGGAGGGTTTTTGCATGGTCAGTTGGTCTCCGTGGTGGTAGGCAAGAGTGTTGGTCAAACAGTTGGTAGAATTCATTAAGTAATGTAGCAACTTCGGCTCCATGGGTCACTCTGCTCTTCAACTTTCGTCTCAATAGAACAAAACTCAACTACATACCTGCACCCTCAATCTGTAGTGTCTTAGCATGGCTTTTAGAGATACTACAGTCTTAACTGACGAGGATCACCTGGCAACACAATTCTCTTCCCGTTACTATCGAACGCCATGGTAAATTTTTCCAGTTAGAGCACACATCTCCTAACGTGCTCAATCAAGATATCCCTAACGCACACATCAGCTCCACCTAAATCAAAAGGAAAAAAATCTTGGTGTCAACTCCACCTCCTGGATCTCATACTCACTTTCTGCAGATTCTTCTCCCCTGACGGTAAAACCATTGCCTACCATTACTCCGAATTGTTGCCCTTTTCCGCATTCAAGCCTAGTCCTTACCAACTCCTTTGAGATGAAATTGTGGGAGCCCCACTATCAACCAACACAATGACATCTCATCTCCAATCATTCCCGGATCTCAAAGTCTTATCCATAGTCATACCCACAATCGAGTTCATAGACAAAGCCAAGGGATTACCTGTTGGGTTGGTGTCATCGTCATTGTCAGAGTTGGGTTCTTCTTTTTCGGTGAGTCTTCATCGGTTACTAAGAGAATCTGCAACGATTCGCCTTACAACGGTGTGCGGGATTGTATTTTTCGTCACATTTGAAGCACAGTCCCTTCTCCCTCTTGCTCTGAATCTCAGCGTCAGTAAGTTGTCGGAACCCTTCGCCTCGAGTTCCTTGCATGGGTGCGTTAGCTGGCCTCTGTCGTTCATTTCCTCTGCTTGGAACCAGATCGTTTCCTTTGCTTGAAACCAGATCTGAAGCATTGGAAAAAGTACTTGGCAACCACTATTTGTGCGCCAATTTTCTGGGTTGGGTGTGACCCGCTGGTATGGCTCCATTTTAGGTAGATGGGTCTTAAATGGCTTGGGCTTTGTTTTTCCAAAACCCGTTTTTCTCCTCAACTATGTGGGCCTGCTCAATAAGTGCAAAAAGTGTATTTGGTTGGGCCAAACGCAGTTCAGCCCGAATTTCTTCTTGAGTCCATTTAAAAATATCCCATTAACAAATCTTCTCCTACCTCACGTAAAGGAGCGAATGTTCTTCAAAGCTTTTTCTGAATTCTGTTACTGTTCTAGTTTGTTTTAAGGCCACTAGTGACTCATATGCTGATCCTTTGAAAGATGGACGAAATCTCGCAACCACGGCAGTTTTAAAAGCTTCCCATGAACTAATGGTGCCCTTGATTCGACGCACTGATACCAATTCAGTGCCCGTCTCTCCATACAAACCGCAACTACCTCTACCTTTCTCCTCTGTGTAACGATTGACTGAGAAATAGCGATCCGCTCTGAAAGTCCATCCGGAGGGATCTTCTCCATTAAACATTGGTAATTCTAATTTTTTTTTTCCTTTATTTTCCTCCAAGGCTCTCAGTTTCCTTACTATGACCCATTTCTCATTGTCGTTACTGTTGGAGTTTTCCCCAAGATTGACTTACCCGATCTCTACTATTTTGTGCTTCCTCTCCTCTTTCAGTCTCATCCATTCCCTCATTTTTAGTAGATACCCTTTGATACTGCCTAACTCCTCCTTCATATTACCCATTTCTTTTTCTAATCCCTCCACCTTTTGCTCCATTTTCGATTTAGGCATTACCAAGCTCTGATGCCAGTTGATAAAACCCCAGGATTAACAAGCAACAAGCAACAACAAAATCAGACAAGGAACCAATTCGCGAGACAGATTTTGGTGGATTGAATTGGGATTGATATTAAGAACTGAAATTGGTAAAAACAGAGTAATTTTCCAGGACTGAAATGAAAGAAAAAAACAGAAGATAAATCCCAGCAGTTCGAGGAGCTCGGGACCTCCCTGATTCACACTTCACAATTTTTCTCCTTTTTAACCAAAAGGCTCTCCCTTTTATACATGAATCATCTAACAACTTTTATTCCCTTCTAGCTAATTGGTTCACACGTCACCTGCCTCCAGCTTCTCTCCACTCAAGCATGCTTCTCCAATTCCAACCAAATCTGTTAGTGGCTTTTTACCCTTATGCCCTCTGTGCTGGTAAACCTTCTTGATAGGTGGTCTATCAGACACCTTTTGTGCTCCTAACCGAATTCCTCCTATATCCACTCCTATCAAGCCATCTGCCCTTCGTAACAAATTCTAACCTCCTACATAACAAATTTCAGCAATTATTCCTCTACTTCTTACCACTGCCCTTCCTACGGTATACCAACCCCCTTAGTTGCTCATCACATTACAACTAAACTTTTTACCTAAGGTCGTAATCTTAATGGTCCGGTTGGATTTGGTTTGATTTTGCCTCAGTTAGTACCATAATCTCAATCTGGGGTTGGTTTATGCTGGGGTAGACCATTAAGATGATAGTACCGTGTGGCATTCAGATAATGAAAAATGTGCTAAGCTGCTATTCAGATGACCCTAATGACTGATGTGTTGAGAATTTGGAATAGCAGAATAGTCATGCTGGAAACTTGGGAAGAGCTGAATAGTGATGCTTTTGACAGAATTGAGGCACCTGGACTTGGGATCTAATTTTAATTTTTTCAGTCCTTTTTTTTTAGCTGAAGAGTTTTCTTTTCCTCTTGTCTGTATAGCTTTTCAGTTTCATTTTTTAATTTCTGAGTCCTGTACTAGACCAGGTGCATATAATAATATTTACCATGATAGGGTTAACTGCAGAGGAATTAGCAATCTTATATTAAATTCAGAATCATAGGCTGTCTGGATGAGTAAATGAATATATCCTCCTCCAACCATGCCTTATCAAGATTATATTTGCAGCTAAAATTGCAGAGATGCTATCTGCTGATATGGAAAAAGAGGGTCTTCGTGGGCGAACTCTAACTCTTAAACTGAAAACTGCTTCTTTTGAGGTACTTCTGGTTGCTTCAGTGCTGCTTACATTGATAAACAATAGTGAATTGTAATAATGAGTTTTGAATTATTTTCTTTCTATTTAAGGCTCCTTACAATAGTAAGTTCTCTTTCTACAATTTTATTGACTCATTTGCAATTTTTTTATTCTTATTTGTCATCTATTATGCCTCTTTGTTTCATCACTAGTGACAAACTGCTATCTTCAGGTTCGAACCAGAGCAGTCACTCTGCAAAAACATATTTGCTCAAGTGAGGACATCTTCAAACATGCTTCAGTGCTGCTTAAGGCTGAACTTCCGGTTTCATTAAGACTTATAGGTAGGGTTTCATCTTGTGGTTTATATTTTTTTCCACCTCACCCCAATTGGTCATGTAGTAAATATGTATTTATTTTTTAGTGATATAGTAAATATATTTGCTAGTTAGAAAATTAATCTTGCACCTTGTGGAGTTCAGATATTGACAAAGAAATGATTTTCTTACTGTCAGGCCTGCGAATGTCTCAGTTCAATGAAGAAAAGGTTGGTGCCTCGGCAGATCCTACTCAAAAAACTCTCACCAACTTTATCATGTCCGGAGATGCTTCTAGGAAAAATGTTGGTCACGATAATTGCTTGGGATCAGATGTCAGTGATCACCATTTCATGGATGATAAAGAAACTAGTATCTCTCTTGGTATTCGCAAGAGAAGTCATTGTGTATTTAGAGATTCATTTGACAACAAATGTGTACCAGATCTAGATGATAACTATCATAGATTCACCTACAATGTTGGTGAAGCAGAGAAAATTCATGAGCCTTCAAGTGATGAAACTGCAGAAAAGGTATGTGTCGAGCCTGAAGAAAAGTCCACTTTTGACCCGTTCTTAATTTGAATGAATGAGCATCATGTTATTTATACCTTTTAGAAATTTCTTTTCTTTGTATTCACAAGTTTATCTAATTGTTCTCTTCTAGACCGATTACTTTCTCAAATAGCTAGATTGTGCGTTTCTATTTCTTTAGGAGAATAAGTCTGACATGATAGGGCATTCTCCCAAATATCATCACAATGAAGAGTCACAACTGTTAGAAGCCAATTCTTCGGTTCTCCAGCATTATGAGGGCAGCCACCATGACAGAATCGAGGCAGCTAATTCCCTGGACAAAGAGGCTGTGTCTTCATCTAATCAAGAAGATCAAAATTTCTGGGTGGATGACTACAAGTGTTCATTATGTGGAATAGAGATGCCACCAACTTTCGTTGAGGAAAGGCAAGAGCACTCTGATTTTCACCTTGCTCAGAGGCTTCAGGAGGAGGAATCTGGCTCTGACTTGAGAATGCTGATGCCGCCGCAAAGGTATTTTATATTTTAATCTGGTCCAGTTCTTCTGTCTTGTCCTCTTTAAACATGCTTGAAACAGAGGGACCTGCACCAGTTGTTAATTATTTTTAATAACTTCTGGTGTCTAGAAGCTGAAGTCAAGTTAATTAGTATAAATCGTTTATACAACTCTGCCCAACCTAAATTATAACTGGGTGGGTCATAAAGGAATAATTTTTTTATCAGAATTTTATTTTCTCTAATGCTATATGAATGGTCGTTTTATAAGGACTTAGGGTTTAATTAATATAAATGCACAACTGAACCCAACCTGAATGGACAGCTGGTGGGGTTAGCAACATCGATCATTTTTCTTAACGACCCTATTTATGGCCATATTTCACATAATTGCTTAGAATCCAAATAGATGAAATGACAAATATAGAGACATGTTCTAGGACTAAATCAACTTCAATATTTGGAAATTTCTTAGTGTAGACATTCTCCTTTGGTTAATAGCTCACATTTGGAAGTGATTTTGTCTTCAATAGCAACATTAATAAACAAATTGCTTTGACTATTCTCATTTCCATTGTTTATCTGGAAACTAAATTTCATCTAATAAACGGAAATTATTAGGTGTGTCCGGAAGGATCCTGCTAGTCATGGTAAACGCAAGAAGCTGAAGTCGGATAAGAAAGAAGGTAGACATCTTTCCATTGACATGTTCTTTGTGAAGAGCAATCAGAACTTCTAGCATTGGGGTATTGTACATAATTTTATCTAGTCCTGTATATATATTGTCTTTTTAATTTTTTTTTCACATCATAGTCAATTTACAAGTATTCATTGATAGTATAACCCTGTTTGGTTAAAATTTTAAAACTCTATTCTATTATCTTATTTAAAGTAAACAACAAAAAACGTGTTTGTCTTAATATTGACGGAATTCAATTCAAAATCTAATTCTATGCTATCCAACTCAAAACATTTAATAATTATCTTTTATAATAAAAATTTTTAAATTAATAAAAACATCTTCACGCACTTTAGCCATTGGCGGTTGTCAGCAACCACCGTTGGCACCAGAACGATGTACGATCGGTCGGATTTGGTTGATCATATGTTGATCTAGTTGAAAACGGTCAGAGATCTGGCTGTTGACGACAGTTATATATTGGCCATCATTGAGTGCTAGATTTTGGCCGTTAACAATAGCCAGAAATCTAGTTGTTAACGACGATCTCGTTGTAGATCTGATTAGAAAAGACCAAATCGGTCAGACCCGGTCGGTCGTGCGTTATTCTGTCAACTACCGTCTGACGGTGGTGGTCAACAGTCGGTTGGGTGGATGAGGGTGTTTTTGTTAATTTATAAACTTTTATTGTTTTGGGTGGGGGGGTTGTTTAGCTAAATTAACAAATGTTGGGGGTTAAAAATTTTTCTAAATGTTTTAAAAAAATGTACCAAATACATTCTCAAAATCTTATTCTATTTGATTTAATCATATTTTATCATATTCGGAATAATTTTTTAGAATAATATTTTAAATAATGTACCAAATAGGCTCATATATTTCATTATTTTTAACACTGTGTACTACACAGTCGAAAATGCAATTTAGATTATAATTCAAGTCCCATTAATAACAGCTCCTTTCAAGCTCAACTTATATTTTAGAGGGCAATTTCAAATTTACTTTTACACAAACAACTTCACAGTTATTGTCAAGCTATCTTGTTCCATTGAACAAATGGTGGATTGTTGATCTTGACTTATTTTCTATATTTCTTTCATAATTATTATGAATTTTATATTTCATGCTGAAGAGTTTTCCATTCAATGTATGTGGTTTCTCCTAATCTATTTTAGGATTCTAATTTATGTTCTATATTATGATTCTGTTAAATTTCAATATGAGTTAAGTACTGAACTGATATTATAGAAAAATCCTTCTGCATTATATTTGTTAATCACCATTAATGTAGTTTGCCGAAGAAACTGTTTTGAGTTTTAATGTGATAAAATTGATATTTAAGTGACCCGCAATTAAAATTTTTTAATTTAAAACTAAGAGTAAACGACCTTTTCCCACTCAAGGTTTGCTTTAATGATACTTTTTTACCTAAAAAGTTTCAAAACATCACTTTCTCGCGCAAAGTTTATATTTCTTTAATACCCAAAATATACTTCACTTTCTCTGTTGGCGTTTGGCGATTTATCAAGAGCCAATATGGTTTTGTAGAGTAGAGACAAGTGGATCGAATGGTGGTAATCGATTGAATATTTGTTGCCAGAATCAGTAAAAAATGAGCTAAAAACAAGAAATTCTAGTTTTGCGGTGGTCAACAATCAACAAGAAATTAGGTGTCAAAGTGAGAGGGGTTTTGTATAGAGGAGATCAGAGATTCAAATGGTGGTGATGGAGAAAATTTTCATCACGGGAATCGGTTTTGGGTAGTAACAGAATATAAACTTTGGGTGAAAAAGTAGTCTTTTGAAACTTTTTTCAGTGGAAAAGTTTTTTTAAGGCAAACCTTGGGTGGGAAAAAGTCGTTTACTCTTAAAACTAATTATAAATTATTTGAGATGTTCTAATGCAACGCCTTGTTTCTAAGTGCTCTTTAAATTTTCAAGAACTTTTATATAGACACACACAATCACTTTCTCTGAACCACAAATATAAAGCGCAATTAGGGCTGTAAACGAGTGAGTTGAGTTTTGGCTTAAACGAGTCGAGTTAAGTTTTGGCTTAAACAAGTCTGGCTCGTTTTACACTTTGGCAAGTTTGAGTCGAGTCTTGAGCCTGACGAGCCAGGAAAATTGAGCTCGAGACTCGACTCGTTTTTTACACGAGTTGGCTCGAACTCGATTCGAGATCGTGTAACCTTGTGTCCAAGGAAGAAACGAAACAGAGATCACTACTGCCAATCCTTCCTTCTGAATCCTCCTCCACACTCATCTCAAATTCAAAATGGAAGAAAAATAATATAAAATGAAACCCACTGCAAAACCCATCATTTTCATCTTTATCTCCTCCACAGCCTCCACATGTGGAAAAATAATATAAAATGAATCCCACGGTAAAACCTAACATTTTCATCTCTTTATCTCCTCCACCGCCTCCACATACAGAACCCAACCCAGAATTTCTATAGCTCCTCCAACATCAAGAGACATACTTGAGATTCAAGACAAAGCAGAGAAGAGAATCAAAGATGGCGAATGGGACAATGAATTTTTACGGCGAACAGAGACTCATGAGACCGACGACGTCGACGAGAGGGGGCCAGAGGCAGGGCAGATCGCTAGAGACTTTTAGTTTTTAGGTTTTTTTTTGTTCTAAATCAGTAAATCCTCAAATCATTTTTGACTTATTTCGATTTGTTGGTGTGTTTGTTATTTTTTAAAATTGGTAAATTCTTATACCCCCTAATAGTTGTAAAAATGTCATATATACTCGAGCCGACTAAAGCGAGATTCGAGCTTGGCGAGCTAAGCATTGGCTGTTCAAACTTGGCTCACCTAATGACCCAACCCGAACCGAGCTGAGCTCAACTTGTTAAATATCGAGTCGATCTCAAGCTTTTTACCGAGCTAAGCCGCTCAGAGCCGATCTCGAGCTTTTTACAGAGCTGAGCCGCTCGACTGACACCCCTATATACATACATATATCTTTTCATATCTACCCACTTATAGATAAGTTAATTGTAAACGTACCCATAATTTTGAAAAAGTATTACAAAAACCCCCTATCGTTACTCAAAAGTCCCTTTATATAAAAGCAAATATCAATCAACATCCATGTTTTAAAAGCCAACCCAGGGCTAAACTTGCCAAAGAAGCCAGGTCTGGGGTTGACCGATAGGTCAAACTGGCGACTTGTCACCTAAAAAAAGTTCAATTTTTTTTTTAATTCGGTGCACGTTAGCATGGTAACTATTTTTGGTGCATGTTAGCACACATCAACGTAGACCTTCTTTCTCTTTTTTTCGACTGTTTTCTCACCCAAAATCACCCCTGTTACCACCATTGGAACCCCTACCCTCTTCTCTTCAAAACCATACCCTTTATCCTCTCTCATCACTCGTTGATCGCCGACAACAGAAAACATGTTTTTTCTGGCTTTCATTTGCCATATTCCAACTATTTTGAGCGATGATAGCTCCAACCACCACCACCCTTAGACTCACTGGCTACTCCCTTACAAAACCTCCAAAGTTCCCAAGCCATTCCACCCACCAATCGCCGGTGATGGAAAACGTGTTTTTCTGATTGTCCTTTGCTAGATTCCGACTGTTTTGAGTGACGATAGCTCTATCCACCACCACCCTTAGACTCACTGGCTACTCCCCTAAAAAACCCCTTAAAGTTCCCAAGCCATTCGACCCACCAATAGTCGACAATTAGAGGCTAGGGTTTTGCCGTTTCTTGGCCAAATTCCAACGATTTTGACGATTAAAACTTAATCAGACCCCACCTCCAGACTCACCATGATCCACTCTTCAAAACCCCTTCATGTTTGTCGGTCGAACACCAATCGAAATTTTCCATTTTCTGGTGTCTGATTCATCAGGTTTTTTCCAAAAACCGATTGGACTAATGGGTTGCTACAGTACCACCTGTCCAACCCCGGGTGAATTTGGGTGAATGCCCCTCCCTAGTTTTTAGACTCTCTTGACCCAGCTTGGTTCACCGGTTGGGCCAAGCTGGGTTTTAAAACAATGATCAACATGTCTCCCTCTTGTGAATTAGATAATTAAGCTTTGCATCAAATTCTATACCCAATATCTTCCTTTATAAAAAAAATAAATAAATAAAAACTCTCTTCCTTCACCTGATCATTTTGTTGGTTGATTCTATTAATTCATTATTTTAATATAAATTTTTTTAATTTGAAAAAATAAACATTTGCATTCGCTTTGGCCTAGAGGTTAGGGCATAAATACATGGGGTTACCCCGCAAGAGTTCAAATCTCTCGTGCAACGATATTTATAATCAGACTTGATTTTATCATATTAAAATGAATAATTTTAAAAGAGAGCATACAAAACAATCATTATCCTTGATTTTCATGATTTTTTTTTTTTCTTTGGGATAATGTTATTTTGTAACCATTTTGTCTTTATAATGATAACATTTTTTTATTAAAACAGAGATCATATATTTGCAACGTGTCACTTATTCAGAGTTTAATCTCTTTATTTCCGAACATGACAGTTTTACTAAACTAAACACGCTCCTCTGCAATGGAACTTCTTCGCACTCTTCCAAAATCCAAATTCTCTTATCCAAATCCAATAAATCCTTCTAAAACCCTAATCACATCATCTTCAATCATCCCAGTGTCCAAACTTTCCCTCCTTCCACCAAAATTCCATTTGAATTCTCTGCAAAAAACCACCACCCTGTATGAACTTAACAATGATATCAGTAAAGCTGCAACTATGCCAACCATGTCTGAGATTTTGGCCTCTTCCAGGGTCCAGAATCTTGACCTCCGTCTCCAAACTCTCGGACCCTTTTTCAGAATCACAGCCAGAAGTTTGGAAACCCAGAATGAGCTGGGGAGGGCTGAGGGGCTCGTAAGGGTCTGGTTGGGGGGCAGAGTTCTTCACTTAGACTCCATTAGACTGAGGAGAGAAACACTGGGCATGGAGAGATCGATTTTTGGTATCGGTTTGTTCATTGGAGCTGTTGCTGTTAGATATGGGTATGATTGTGGTTGTGGAACTGCTGAGTTGCTTGCTATTAATGACTCGGATCTTTACCATAAGAAGGTTCTTGCTTTGTGTATACTAATTTTATTTTTTGTGTTGCATAGTTGTAATCTATATTTCTTTAAAGATTTAAAGTTTGCTTTGGGTGATTGTACTGTCCACTTTTGCCATTCTTTTTCAAGACCTTTTAATGAGTGTGCATGCTTGATGTGTGATAATGCGAAACTATTTCAGCATTCTCCAGTATGTCGCAGAGATTATTAAGAACATTTCTAAACAATGAGTGCTATGTGATTGAAGATTGGAGTTTGAATTCATTTGACTCTTCAGAATTTGGTGTTTGTAACTGGTTTTATTGAAGGAAAACATATGAATAGATAAATGAGAAAGCAACTAGAAGGTTGGGGTAATTACCTTTGATTTGCACTGATAAATAGTGAATCTTTTTAAAGCTTGGGTTATCTGTTCGTTATAAACACATAAACACATTTTAAGTGGTCCCTTATATATTATGGATTACCTGATGGTTAATTGTTTATATAATTCTTGACTTGACATTTTTTGTCTCAGCTTGTTAGGTTCTACAAAAGGATCGGGTTTAAGGCTGTGCATGAAGTGACTGGCTCAACATTCGAACTGGGTCACATGTTGGTCTGGGGAGAATTGGGACCCGAATGGAAGCCAATGTTGATGACTTCTAGTAAAGGGTGCCGCAGGTTCAAATCTCAGAATTAATTTTACTATGATCTTATTGCTTGACAGATTCTGTAGAAAAGTTTGTTAATATGAAGGTTTGAGTCAAAATATGATCTGAAACCAATTGCTACTGAGCACCAGAAGACTGTTTTACTTTAGCTTGGATCTTACACTGCACTGACCTTTCGGTGGTTTGAATTTTCTTATTTTGAGTTTTTTTTTTTTTCTTTTTTCCACACAACAAATGCCTCAATTCTGCTGTAAGTCGAGTGCACGCACAATTCAAGGCTGAACCCATAGGGAGAAAAAGGTACTGCTCTGTTGATTGCTTTTATGAATGGTATATAATTAAGCTAAAGAAGATACTTTTTGGCCACTGGATTGGAATTAACATGATATCAAACTGATGTTATACTTGCATGCTAAAAGAAAGAAACTTCGTTATAGAAGCACTATTTAATAGTCTTGTAATCAAGAATCCCTGAAATCTCTGCTCCATAGTTGAAATAACATGCCTCAAACTGGTACTATACTTGACTATTGAAGAGAACCTTCGTTTCAAAGCATTAAATAAAAACTTATGATCATGTACTCCAAAAATCCTGCTTCTTGAAAAGTGGGACTATGTTAAAAGTGCTCATCATTTATGGATAAGATTTAATGATTTTTCTTTTGAAAATACTTTAATACATTAGAAACGGAACAGAAATCTTTTTGTTCTAAGGAATATTTACCACAGAAATTGTTTTGGGCTAGAACTACAGGAATAAATGCAGTGTTAGTTCCCTACTCTAGCTGTCTGAATTGAAGACACTGTAATAAGGCAACTCTGGTTTGTGCCATGGACCAACCAAATACATTGCATTATGTTATCTGTCTTGTAATGATTGAATATGAAGCAAAAAAAAGGTTCTTAAAAGTAAAAGCGAGAAATATATGGCCTCAAGTGTCTTGGAATTTGATTGATTGATAGAACTTCTGTCTTTGTTTGTATATTATTTTAAACGGTCCTTTTTTGGTAACATGATGTTCATCGAGTGAATTTATCACATAATAATAGGTTTGTACATCAAAATAATATCCTATCAACCTTCTATTCTGAAAGAGAAACTATCTGCATAATTATCACCCTTCCCTTTGCCAGAACAATAAACCAGAATCATTAAAAGGTGTGAAACTTTCATATTCTGCATATATACTAGGCTGATTGAAAACCCCTTCATAGCATGAGAGCCACAGCCAAGCCAATTCTAGATTCTATCAAGAGCTTTCAGATCCACTTCACCAGAGATTGTAAGCATGACTTTGGTCTGATTTATGACTTAAGAGAGTCTCGAGTTTTCCATAATTGTTGAGCTTCATCTTCAGTGTTGTCAGATGATCCACACTGCATGATCCTCCAACTGTAAAAGTACTTTCCTTCTTTGAGAACCCCTGTGGATCCTGCCCCCACAGAAATCTCCTTTGGCGGATTAAAGCGGTATACATATGATGCTTTCGCAGTCACCCTGTTGGCCCTGAAAGTTTACCAAGCAAAGTAACAAGTCTCAAACTTGCTCATCAGGGATGTATTGCTGGATTTGTCTGCAATACAATGCATGTAAAGTATCAAATGTTATTATACCCCCATCCCCTTCGCTCCCTCTCTCTCAACCCCAAAAATTAGCCTCATAACAGTGAGATTAGATCTCAAAATGTTTTATACAACCAAATAAACTATTTGAAATAAAATTAACTAGTTGACTCCCACAAGTTAACAACCAATCAAAACACATCAACTCTTGTAGAAGATGTAGCTTGCAACTAACACTGGTTATTACCCAAAGCTTATAGGTTATAATTTTTGGTTTTTTTTTCAATGTTTTTCATTCTTAAGGAAAAAATCACCTACAGAATTATTGAAGCATTGCTCTGGATTTGCCAAGCTTATGCTTGCATTATAGCTGGCAGAACAGCTTTCTGTCTTGTATTTTGCCTCCACGCTTAGTGCAATTTTTGGAGTTCCTATAGATGCTGAAAGCATAATTGCTGGGGACTGGTTTAGAAAATGGACGTACCAAAAACATGTTCATGGAGTAGCTTATCTTGAGCTGCAGTAGAGAAAAAAGAAGTACATGCTTTGCAGTTAATAGCATAATCTTAGTCTGGGAACCATTCAGATCATTGATCTTAAACTACAGAATTCCATCAGTTGTATGTTTTTTTTTTTTTTTTTTTTTTTTTTTATGATTGCATAATTTATGATTTGAATTTTTTATGGGTGTTCAGTTGTGTAAGAGTGATTTGATTCTTAATCCATGTCTTAATCCACCAGCTTAGTATAATCCACCTATTGACCTCATAATGACAACCTTATTCACACTCCAACATGATTAAGGGTTTTGTACCTCACTGGAGCTGTAATAGGCAATTTCAAGGAGCTTAGTCCTTGTGGATGGAGAAAATTTTCCACTGAAACTGAGACTGTCTGAAAGCTGCCAATGCCATAAAAGAAAATATAGAAGATGCTCAATGCTGAAATATGTGCAAGTTAATGAATTTATAGCTGAGAACAACTTTTACATTTGATCTTGAATCACTTTTACAAAAATAACACACCGTGATTTCAAATCAATTTTACATCAATGGTAGCATTCTGCAATTGTATTTTGCTGCAAGTATGTAGAAGAGTGCTTTCCAAGTTTCGCAGCAGCTGAAGTAAGGGTCTGAAAACAATACAGAAGAAATTCTAATTTTGCTTGAAAACATAAGGATGCAGTGATTCAGTTAGACATTGAGTACTAACTCTCACAATTTACAATGTAATGATGGAAATGTATTTTTATTATTGAATTTCAACAATTTGACAGCCTCTATTTCGTTTACATTCACCTCCTGCTTCTGTTCTAGATTGTTTATTTGTAATGCTGAGCATAACAGTATGTTATCATTATTTATGTTTACTAAATATTTGTAGTTTGCAATTGCTTTTTTGTATTGTTTCATACCTGGATGATAATTTGTTAGCTCTTTTATAGTAGCCAGTCTCAGGGAATCGAATTTAGAACAGCTGTTTCATGTATCTTTCTCCCTATCCGTTAATAATGAAGTTTGTCCCTTATCTTTTTGGCTTAAATTTGAATTATTTTCTTCTGTCAATATCCTCTTTTTCACTTGAGAGTCTCAAAGTATTGATAATTAAAGAGCATTGACGTACAATTTTCTCTTATTTTATAGTGATGAACTCTTAATTTTTTATGGTCTTGTAAAATTTAGTTGTGTTTTTATGAAAGGTCTAGCAAGTTACTTGATTGTACTCAATCATGGATGGCTTGAATGACATTTTTTGCTCATACTTGGTATGGTTTAGTAAAGTTAATTCCTCGTATTTGGCTGTGCGCTCGCGACTTTTCTTGGTTGTCCTTTGGATGAATTGTAAGGTTACTAGCTTGTACTTGATCATGTATGATTTGCATGACATTTCATCAGGATATGAACAGTAAGATTACTTTATTGAACCTGGCAAGTCAACCATGCATAGACTCGCAAACTTGCTTGTACTTGACCATGCATAACTTACGTAACTTTTTATTCTTTAAGTAGTGTATGGATTACAAGATTGCTTGTATTGGTTCATTATGACTCTTGCTTGTCCTCTAAATAGATTGACAAGAGTTTTAGTTCTTACTTGGTTATGCATGTAAGATTACTTTTAATTTATGAGCTTTCTCAATTTCATGGCGTTCAAGGTGTGAAAATGTATTTCTTTTCTCGAATCCAATGTCATATAATCCGACCAGGCTTTGTATAATCCACCTATTAAACTCATAATCACAGCCAAATGATTAAGGCATCTGTACCTCACTGGAGCTGTAATGAGGCAATTTCAAGGAAGCTATAATCTTCGTGGATGGCAAAAACTTTCCACTGAAACTGAGGCTTGCTGAAAGCTGCCAACGCCATCAAAGAAAAATATATAGTAGATGGTCAATGCTTAATGATATTTTGTAGCTGAGAAGAACTTTTACATTTGATGTTGAATCACTCTATCGAAAATAAACACACCTGTGATTTCGAATCAACTTTTATATCAATGGTAGCATTCTTGCAATTGTATTTTGCTGCAAGATATGTAGAAGAGTGCTTTCCAAGTTTCACAGCAGCCGAAGCAAGGGTCTGAAAACAATGCAGAAGAAATTCTAATTTTGCTTGAAAACATAAAAGGATGCTGTGATTCAGTTCGACATTGAACACTAAATCATAACAGGTACAATGCGACGACGGCGGAAATGTTGTTTTTATTAGTGAATTTCAACAATTAGATGGCTTTTATATTTCGTTTATCATTCATCTCATGCTTCTGTTCTGAATTAATGTTGAGCAGTTAATTGCATTCATAAATTAAACATGAACATGCGTAGACAAATACAAGCTAACAATCTTGCAAATCCATACCATAGCTAAGCATGAAAAGTCATAATGGCTGAACAAATAAATGATCTTGCTAATTATGAATCAAATATTGAAAGTCATACAGATCATGCATGGTTAAGTAGGAGTCAATATTAATCAAAGGTACAACACATATATACATATATACAGTTGACCCATAGCTTATCATTGTGAAATTATTGTACCGTTCCAGAGCTGCTGCGGGTTGATATGCTAAATTCATGATCCTTGATGTATCCCTTTTCCAGCAAATCTGCATATTTAATCAAAATGAAATGACTTTTTCAAGTTTCAGAGAAGCTGCATATATACATAAATATAGAAAATTCAAAAGCCTTGTCATTGGCCGCCTAAGTCAAATCATGATAAGAAAAACTACAGAACAGGTTAACAACCCCACTTAGCCAGCAACTGCCCAATACAAAAAGACAGTAGGTTCTTAAAACTAGAACAGGACAATGTTACAGAAAAGTCAGTCTTCTCTCAACTTTGTGTTTTAGTTCAATTCTATTTAGCTTCTGTTAGGGCCAAAAACCATCTTGGGATTGACGAGGCCCAACAACAAAATAAACATGTCACGACCCAAGGCCTCAACCCAATCCTGATTGAGTCTATGCTTAAAATCACCTTGCGAACTACCCATTCTATGAGTTGGGCTATCCCATAAGTTAAGCTAAACTGAGTTTTAGCTTATTAGCCTGCAACAGTCTATAACTAGAAAATCAGAATCTCATTCTATTTCCTCTTCTATTAAGGTTCTAAATCTTACTCAAACTATTAAATTTGATCTGATAAGGTCAAGAAATCATATCTCTTTCATGATAGGGATTATCTCTCAAAATAAGACTTAGTGTTCTACTAAGATTCCAAATCTTATTTAAACTATTAAACTTAATCTGATAAGGTCAAGAAATCGTATTTCTTTCTTGATAGGGATTATCTCTCAAAAGGACTCAATGTCCTACTAGGATTCCAACCCCTTGGGTTCATTATAAAAACAGAGGGTTGCCCTCTCATTAGGCATGCAATCTCCCATAGTCAATCTACACTACTCAAAACCATCTATTTGCTCCTAAAGTTCTTGCTCCCGATAACCCGACACCTTTACCGTAGTCCTAGCTTCCGACAAGACTCCGGTAATTCTTCATCTCCTTAATTCTTATCAAATAATCTCTTTCAGCCTTGCTGACTTGAGCGTCGGAGTGCCCACGGCAAAAACCACCTTGGTGTTTTCCGGAAGCTTCACGCTTGCCTTTTCATGTGTGCAAGTCTAACGGATTGTTAGTGGCCTCAACCTCACGGGATCAGACCCTATTTTCATGATGATAGATTTTTTGCATCTACAGTTTGACGCCCATTGTGGGGCCTGACAATCATCTGCCAACGACGACTTACAACATGAGAGGCGACACGGAACTCCTTTTGACTGACAATGTTAATCAGAAAATCCCATCACCATAATAATTTTTTCTTTCTTTATTTTTCTTCGTTTGTTTTATCTATTCACATGTCATATTATATCTATTCGGTATATCGTAATTTATTTTATATTATATCCATTCAGTGAGTAGTATAAGACCTTGAAGCTTATATTATTGTTCTAAATTAATAATAGCTTCATATTATTGTTCTAAATTAATAATAGAATAATAATTTGTTTGAGTTTAAAGTGGTGTTCCTAAACCACTTGATTCATTGACTTTGCTTCAACAATCTCTCTTCTCTAATCCTCTGTTCAGATAAGGCAATAGCTTATGTCTCTAACCTCTCTACACACGCCTTTTCACTTCAATCATCAAACCACCAGGTGGTCCGCCACTGTCATCAGAGCTTTGCAATGCATTACCTGCCGCAAAACCAGTCAATTTGTTCATTCAAGAAGATGCCGCAATACGCCAGCATCTCCAGGACCTTCGCTCCATTAAAAGGTAACTCAAACTTGACCAGCCTTGATCCAATCCCCATTCAACTTCACGAAGATTTGCCACCACTTTGAAACCCAAAACCCGTCTATCTGCTCTCCTAAAATCGCCCTAACAGCTTCTCCAATCACACAGTGAAATCCTAAAAATACAACAGTAATCCTCTCAAAACACATAAAGTCATCTACTTACCCCACCGTATTCCAAAACTCCAAACTCGAACCATCGCCCCTTCCCAACCAATATATATCAACTCAAACCACCTTCACATCACAATCTCCAGCAAACTTGTCACAAAAGCCCTCAAGCTCCCCGTAGTCTACAAACTTTCCACTCCCCACTGCAACTCAGCACCACTAAACAACACGAGTAGTCCATTCAATGATATTTGGGTCTGCACACACGATATTAGCGTACCCATTCGGATCAGCCCAAAAGTGAATCACGTGTCCACTCGACTTCAACTGGTTCTACTCCGATATAGAAAGTGACACCCTTCTCTCCACTCGATCCAGCAAGCATGGGTGACAACACTTGAAGGGGAAAGATATGTGTCATTGTCTCCTTTTAACTACCACTCTATTTGATTAAATCTTTCTCTATTCGGCCCATTATTTAAATAAATACAGCCCATTTTTCCATTTAGCTCACTCATTATTCAGTCCATAACACATGCACATCATGCATATTAACTCTTCATTCAACTATTTGCGTAAAACATGCATGCCATGCATGTCACTGCTCCAGCTTCAGTCAAATGTTTTCAACTACAATGTCGGTCACGCCGACTGGGCCACATAGCCCTCAAAGGTTTTAACTACAAGTCGATCACACCAACTCGATTGCAAGCTCCATACAAGCTCCACTTGGCATACACCATCAGATCGACCCTACCCGATTCACGGATTTACGCCATCAGATCGGCCCTACCCGATTCACGGATTTACACCTTCGGATCGACCCTGCTCGATTCACGGATTTACACATTCGGATCGACCCTGCCCGATTCATGGATTTACACCTTTGGATCGACCATGCTCGATCCACGGATTTACACCTTTGGATCGACCATGCTCGATCCACGGATTTACACCTTCGGATCGACCCTGCTCGATTTACAGATTTACACATTTGGATCGACCCTGCCCGATCCACAGATTTACACCTTTGGATCGGCCCTGCCCGATCCACGGATTTACACCTTCGGATCGTCCCTGCATGATCCACGGATTTACACCTTCGGATCGTCCCTGCACGATCCACGGATTTACACATTCGGATCAGCCCTGCCCAATCCATGGATTTACACCTTCGAATCGGCTCTGCCCGATCAACGAATTTACACCTTCGCGTCGGCCCTGCTCAATTCACGAGTTTACACCTTCGGATTGGCCCTGCCTGATCCACAGATTTACACCTTCGAATCATCCCTACCCGATCCACCGATATACACCTTCGCATCGGCCCTGCCCAATTCATGAGTTTACACCTTCGGATCAACCTTGCCTGATTCATGAGTTTACACCTTAGGATCGGCCCTACCCAATTCACGAGTTTACACCTTCGGATCAGCCCAACCCGATTCACAAGTTTACACCTTTGGATTGGCCCTGCCCGATTCATGAGTTTACACCTTCGATCAGCCCAGACCGATTCATAAGTATACACCTTCGATCGGCCTAGACCGATTTATAGATTTACATATTCAATCGGCTCAGACCGATTGAAGGACTTGCACCTCAAATCGACAAGTCATCGACCCAATCCACACAACGATCCATTCGACCTAACGAGCTGTTATCACTAATCCACTCAGTCTACACTCATTCGATTAAATCTACTCTCTAAGCTAAATACTCTTTAACTTAGAGAGCAGGGGGCTAACTGTTAGGGCTAAAAATCGTCTTGGGATTGACGAGGCCCAATAACAAAATAAATATGTCACGACCCAAGGCCTCAATTCAATCCCGATTGGGCCTACGCTTAAAATTACCTTGCGAACTACCCATTCTATGGAGTTGGGCTATCCTATAAGTTAAGCTAAACTGGATTTCAGCTCATTAGCCTGCAATAGTCTATAAATAGGAAATCAGAATCTCATTCTATTTCCTCTTCTACTAAGATTTCAAATCTTACTCAAACTATTAAATTTGATCTGATAAGGTCAAGAAATCGTATCTCTTTATGATATGGATTATCTCCCAAAACAGGACTTAGTGTCCTACTAAGATTCCAAATCTTATTTAAACNTTTATTGATGGACTTTGTAAGAATGGATGTGTTTTGGAAGCAGTGGAAATGTTTAATACTCTAGTAAATAATAAGTTTGCAGTTAGCATTGAAGGTTTGAGTTCCCTCATTGATGGATTATGTAAAACAGGGAGATTCAAAACTACTTGGGACCTATTTCAGAAATTTTCTCTTCATGGAAACCTGAAGCCAAACGTTATAACATATAGCATTTTGATCAATGGGTTGTGTAAAAATGGACAACTAGAAATGGCAAATGAGTTGTTGTCATATATGGAGGAAAAATGTTGTGCTCCGGATGTAGTCACATTTACTACGCTTATGTTTGGTTTCTTCAAGAATAATGAGATACCTAAAGTTGTTGAACTCCTTCATAAGATGGTAGAGATAAATGTGAAGCCGACTGAATGTACAATGTCCTTAGTCATGCAGTTACTAATGAAGGCTGAAAATTATCGTGAATGTTTGAACCAACTTCCTCAATTTCCAAAAGTGAAATTGAAGTTTACGTGATAAAACTTTAGTGAGTATTAGACTTTTTTCGAAACAAAATCTTGCAAAGTTCATCCAGCTGCCCAAATGCTCTATTTTGGTTTAAGTGATAAAACTTTAGTGAGTATTAGACTTTAGTGTTATAGACGTTTATAAGTCTTTAACACTAACTTACGTACATACCTTAATTTGAAATCAATCAATCCCTCTTTTGGCCAAGAATCCTCTTGTCATTATACCCGAAAAGTTTCGAGTAAACTTGCTGGACGCCGATGAGAAATGTTATTACTGTTATTATTGGATTGACGTGTAAGGATAACTCATTGTTTTGTGCACCAACCAACAAAGATATAAGATAACAACTCTTCTCTCGTAATATTTTTTAATTAGGCAACAAAATTCAATGGTGTTATACGCACGTACGAAGCCCTTTTGTGAGTCAGTTATAGATGGTTTTACACTTATATTGGGCAAGTGAATAATATACTACTAGGGTTTGGTTTTCTTTTCTGGCATGGAAGTGGCCAAGTGGATATTCTTATTTATCATGTTGTTAACCTATTCAATATCCACCCAGTATTGAAGATCTCA